CTGCTCAAGATTTTATTTTTATTTTTTTTAAAGTGATCTGCATATATTTTTGTTCACGTTTGTTCACTACACATTTAATTCTTTCTTGGAGCCTTTTTTAAATTAATCTTAAGACCAAAGAGAGATGGAATTAACTATTTCATAAGACATAAAATAAGATGACTGATGAAATATGTCAATGTATTTATTGGTGTTAGAATAAAACTAGTGTAATTGATGTTACCACCCAAATCCTAAACAAAGTACTTTTAATGTTTTTAAAAACCTTTAATTAGAACATTTATTTAGGCTTGATTAAGAACCCATTATGCAGATTTAGGACAAAAAGAAAATTTTAAATTAAGCTGTGAATTAAAATAATCCAGTAGACCAGAGTTCAGTTCAGTCCTTCACACCGAGATCAGCAGAAGAAAAAAAAAAGTCATACCAGAAGCAGAGAGACTTCACAGTTGTTCCTCATGGGAACTGAAACGACCTGAAAAGTATCTTGTATTGTTGCTGTGAGGTGGAGGCACCCGCATACAGTGAAGGTAGGGCTGTTGGACAGGCTGTCTGTCTGCTGGGATCCAATGGACCTCTTTCCCGTTTTGATGTCGTACTAATTAAAATATCAGACGATAACTCCCCGTTAGCGCGTGATCATCGCCGCTCCCTGACATACTTCCTGAGCAGAACCTCTCTGAGGGGTGGTGTTTGAAACACAGCAGCGGACCACCCCCTCTTTCTCCTCGTCCTGATGTGTGTTTGTAAGTCCTGGTCCTGTACTCTTGGCTCAGTCTACAGGAAACTCAGTGAACCAGGTTACACTGGCTCTCCGACACTTTAACATTAAAGTATGTTTGAAACAACACTTTAACTCAAGGTGTTTAAAAATACTTTAGGTGCTTTTGTGAATGAACTTTTTGGTAGTTGCAAATGTTGCTTTTACAGCTTTTTGTTGCCATGTCCTCCTAACTTGTTTGAGATGTGTTGCTGCCATCAAAGTCAAAATGAACTAATATTTTTCTTTAAAAGGCTCATTTTCTTAGTTTAAACATTTAAAATGTTTCATGGATTCTATTGTGAATAAAATGTGGGTTTATGAGATTATTGGAAATTGGCCGGCATTTGTATACGCTGCACTAAGATGGCCTGTATTTGTATAGCGCTTTACTCAGTCCCTAAGGACCCCAAAGCGCTTTACGCTACATTCAGTCATTCACACACACACATTGGCAATGGCAAGCGACGTTGTAGCCACAGCCACCCTGGGGCGCACTGACAGAGGTGAGGCTGCCGGACACAGGCGCCACCGGGGCCCTCTGACCACCACCAGTAGGCAAACATGGGGTTAGTATTTTGCCCAAGGATATTCGGCATGCAGCCAGGAGGCAGCCTGGGATCGAACCACCGACATTCTGATTTGTGGCTGACCTGCTCTGCCACCTGAGCTACAGCCACCCAAATTGGTTTTGGTTTTTTTAATTCACATTTTACACAGTGTCCCAACTTTATTGATTACTTTAGATCAATTCATCTCTAAACACGTGATTCTGAGACGATGCAAATGCATGACGAAGTTGACATTCTGCTTCAAACTCAATTCAAATGATCTAAACAGGAATGAAGAATGTGTGGCCCCTTGGTGTGATCCAACCTGACTTTCAGTTGTTCTAAAGAGTTTATTCAAACTAGCTCTTTCCTCAGGCCCCCTGCACATGTTTGGGTTTAGTATTCCTGATCTCCATTTAAACAGCTAATACATTAAAAATTTGCTCTGCTTCCAGCATGGCTTTTCCCCGTCTGTCACTTTTCTGCCATTTGTCACCTCAAACGTTGAGTTCAGCGGGCTCCAGAGGTGAATTTTACATGACACTAAAGACTCTGTGTGTGTTTTGTGGTAAACATATATTTAACAGGACATGTTGAGTGCCTGAGTGTGTCCTCTCTTTCCATCTTCGTTCCTCCCCCACTCTTTGCAGTCCCTTATCCCACCCCCTTTGTATCTGTGTCATTGCTCTGGAGAGTGAGAGGGTTTCTCTTTGTAGCGAGTCCAACTTGGCAGCAATGCAGTCACTGCTGGGAAAGTGTGTGTTTAAGTGTGGGCTTAAATGAAATGTGTGCGCTGTCACAGGTGGAACTAGGACAGCATGCTGGGAGGACTCGGAGATGGAGAATTCATATGGGAGATCGAGAACAGAAACAGGACGCTGACACCTTTTAATTCATTCTTTTTGTACTGATGTTTTGTTTTCTTTCGGTGTTCCAGCCTTTAGTCGTATTATTATTTAATGAACAGGAGGCTCAAACTTGGAAGAAAGTTCCTATGATGTTGATAGAAAAACAAACCCATGAAAAGGCGGCTCTTTCAGGTCTTTAATCCTGTTACAGTTTGAGGATCGCGCTGTGGATTAACGTCTGTCATGTGTGTGAAAGGATAACATGGGATTAAGTTGCTGTTTGACATTTCGCGGTGTCACATCAGACTTCAGAGCAGAGGCCGATTCATCACATGAAACAAGTCAGGGCTTATTATCAATACTTTAATGTGGCTGCCGATGGGTAACGATACTCCACCCATCTGCAAACGGCAGGTTTGCAATCCTAAAGTCATCCTGCAAATGAAGTAGCTGTATTTACTGATCTTTAACAAGTTTCAGAGGAACGACTATGGTTAAGAAGAAAAACTGGACAGTTTTACAGATGATTTAAACCATTTGAGAAGGTAATTACCACACAGTTCTAGTGTTCTCTTGAATACTAAGGGCTTCGATTTTGGCACTCTCTAAAGAGAGAAATGGTTTAACCTTCCATAACCAAATTTCCACGACCAAAGAACAAACAGAATCAGAACGAACTTGTAATATTTGAACCTCAAAACTGCAAACCAGTTACTTACTCAACAAATATCCAGATCACCATGAACAATATACCCAAGCACTTGGACTCATAGTCCATCAAACACCATTGAAACACTACTAACCATTATAGGCCTGGGGTTCTCAGATAATTCTTTAATATACCATCAAGGTGCACCTTCTGATTTGCCTTTGACTCTCTGGACTACCACTGAGCCAAAACAATTTTCCCCTTTCAGATCTTCACACCTGCAAATGTCTCAAACTGACTGTAAAGATAAAGTTTGTCAGTTTGTTTAGTTTTTGAAGTTCCTGATCTCATACACAGTAAATTCTGCTATATTTCATGCATTTAAACATGAAAGTAGTCCTTAACAAATTTGCCTGAACTCTGTAGAGGTTTAAGAATTACAAATAAAAAGCGCAGAAAGATTTTGCTTCATTGAAAACCTCCTGGATATTATTCCATGGAGGTTAGTGTTCTGTTATTGACATATGGCCACTCCGTCACATCCTTCCTTTGTAGACTGTGACATTTTAAAGCAAAGGCTTTAACTACGAGAAGAGCCAATATTGTGGATGGATACTATCAGGTTTTCGTCCCCAGTGGAAATACTTTTACTTCACAGATTCTAACAGTCACAGGAGACATTGTGTTTGTATGTAATTTTCTGGGAAACGCTGAGATAAGCAGCCTCGAGTGCAGCTGCTGGTCACTGTGGCACGAGTCGAAGCGGTTAAAGCTGGCGATCCTGTTGTGTCGCTGCATGCCGGAGCTTATCTTTGTTTCTGGATTACATTTTTTATCCTCTGAGGGAATTCACAGCTCCTCAGATTTGTCATTTGAATCTGGTTTTCTATGAGAGAAGCTGCTGCTTCATCAGGAATTAAACTTAATCTGTCGTTTGAGAGCGGGACAAACTCTGACCGCTGCCTCCTGTTCAATGAACCTGTCACTTTTCTATTGGTGGAAAACACTAACCCAGCTGTCCTCTCTGTGATGCTAAGCTAAGCTACCCACTCCTTTCAAAGCAAATGACAGAGGAGTCAACAGCTGAAGGAGGGAGACAGCTTTTACCCGATTCCAGTGACTGTCAAGGAAAAAGCTTTCTGTGCACACCAGCAGTTTCTTTGATAGAGACTTTAAAGCTTGCATGCTAAATAAAACTAAAACTGTGTAATCTGTGACAAATAAATACTCTAAAAAAAGTAAGCTGGGAAGGACTGGCCACCAGGACTCATAACTGAAAAGGTGAGAGCAGGTGAGCAGGTCATGTTACGCCCACTGAAAACGGTCTTTGTATTGATAAGAGCTGAAGTTTCATTAGGACTGAGTGGCACTTATGTGTATTTTTTCTTTTCTGTTTGAGTTAATTTTGTTTCTCTTTGAGTGCAAAGAAGAACTCAAGACAACAGTAAAAAGCAGAGAATATAAGTTGGATATAAGTATGAAAGGAAGAGTGTAAGACAGGAGGGGGAGCTCAAAGGGACTCCTCAGAGACAGAGAAAAAAAAAACGACGAACCCCTCCAGAGGAAAGAGAGTCGCGTTCAGCTGAATCAGCGCGGCTCTCTGTGTGTCAGCAGCTTAAGTCACTTTGTAAAGACGTCACACACTCAGAGCCCGAGGACATTTCTTTGGCCGTCTCATGGTAATGCCAAATAAAAAAAAGAAGCACACACCGCCTGAGGCTTCACACACACACAGAGTTATTGTGCTGATGCAGTAGTTATGAAATGTTTGTCTTGATTGCTTTTCCTGCTGGAAACTTTTGTTTTCACAACTTCAGTTTTGATCTTTAATGTTTTTTATTTTTGCAATATTTTGTTTGGAGGAATTTGTTTCTCTCTGAGGTCATGTATGTTTAAACTTAGTGGTCATTCAGTGTTCCTGAGATTATTATTTTTTGCTTAGTTTATTTATTTAATTGTATAATTTTAATTTTCCTTTAAGTCATTTGTTTTCTACTTTTTCCTCTTAAGGACTCATTTTGTGTCTGTGATGATGTCCTGTGTCCTTAGAGATTATTTGGGGTTATTTTTTTGTTTGTGATCATTTTGCTCCTTTAAAAATTATTTGCTGTGTTCAGTTACTTACAGATTAGTAAAATGAAAATGCTGCCGTCACTCCTTAGTGTTTTATTTTTAATTTTTTATTCCTAACAGTGAAAATCTGACAATAAATAAGTAAAAACAAATACAATAAACAAAAAACATACTTTTATATTTCTTTAGTTTTTCTGCTTTAGCTGGACATGTATCTGCTCGTGAGTTCTGTGTGCAAACAAACAAAATTTCAGCTCACACGAGAGCGAAAAAGTAACACGAACAGAAAATCTGCAGTGAGGTAACTGAGTAAAACCGACTGAACACACTAAAGAAGAATTTTCACGCTTTCTCTGTGATGTTTTCTTTCACATGAATCTTTTGAGAACGCACTCGGCCACAGCACACGAGCAGTAGCGTCTGAGTGACAGCAGCTCTGGTGGCAGCGGCAGCTGCTGATCCGTCACCGAGTCGCCGTCGTAACGCTCGACCATCTGGCCTTCAGGCGTCTGTCACCAGACAGCTGTGGAGAGAGCATGTTTGCCCGCTACTGCAGATGAATAAAGTTTTGGTTATTTGAAGGAGAAGTTTCTAAAATCAGAATGCCTCCACAACTTCAAAAAAGTGTTTCTTCTTCTGTGGTTTGTATCATTATATATGTGATCATTTCCGCCCTCCGCTCTTCACGTGGCCTCTGGTTTTTTTTGTGGCTTTCTTCAACTTCGTTTGACCCACGGTGACTTTGCAAGAAGCCGATGTAGGGGAGGAACTTGCTTTTGATGGAGGGGTGGGGTTTACCTTAGAGGGGGAGTGGTTTACAGTGATCATCGGGTTCTTTGAATCACAGAGGGGAACAGCTTGAGGTATTTCCAAGTCAGCGACAGGAAAGGTTTCTGTGAAATCAGAAACCTGAAGAGAAACAAAGGTAATATTTATTGTAAACAGGAATTGTTGCATGTATAAAAATAATTCATTACACTAAAGATAGAGGCTTATAGAGACCAGTATTTAAAGGAGAGGGAGTCTTACAGGAACAAAGGCCAAGTTGTCACGGAGACAGGCATCCTGCAGCTCGCTACGCAGTGCTGTCACATGACTGCGGTGGGCAGAGACTTCCTGCTCAAGCCAATCAATCCTGGAGCTGCAGGTGTGGCAGAGCTGAGAGACGGCGGAGAGAAAACTCTGCACAGGAAGAGAAACATGAAGGGATGAACTGAGAGCGGCGAAGGGTGGCGGCTAAAGAGGAGAGAAAGGTGTAGAAGGAAGGAAGGAAAGAAGGAAGGAAGAAGAAAGAAGGGAGAACATAAGAAAAGAAAGACACTTCCTTCCTCGCTCTGCTACCTGGCACGCTGTCGCCTCAGGAGCTCCCATGATGCTCTCTGCTCCACTCAACTCTAGGTTCTCGTGAGGTAACAGCAAGGGGCGGGGCTTGACCTTCAGAGAGTGTTGTGATTGGACGAGACTGTCCCTGAACTGAAGAGCACACTGCATTGTTTCAACAACTGTGAGGCCCAGAGTGAGTTTTCAGCAGTCAAAGTGAGGTCACCTCACTGTGTGTGTGTGTTTGTGCACATGTGTTCACCTGCTTGCAACTCGCCTCTGCAGCCTTCATGCAGCTGACCACACCGTCCCGACGTCTGAGAAACAACAACGTCAACAACCAACAATCTCACAGTAAACAAACTTCTGGGCGGAGGGAAAGAAGGCCCGCTACCTGCTGGCATCGCTCAGCTCTTCCTCAGCTCGCTGCAGCCTCTCCTCCACCTGCTTCTTCCCCTTCTGAATCCCTGATAGGTGCTTACCCAGAATCCTCAGTGAGCGCTCTTTCCGATTCACCTCCTGCCGAGCCTCTGACAGCACCTGGTGAGAGAGAGAGAGACCTAGAGTTACCTGAAAGTAACCATCACTGCACAAGGGTTAAGGTGTCCACTGTGCAGGCTTGCAGGCATCTTTTCCACATTAACTGTGAAGGTAAATTATTGACAACATCACCATTAAACAGCTCACAGTTAACAACTCTAGGTTCTCGTAAGGTAACAGCAAGGAGCGGGGCTTGCTCCTCCTGTTGGTTATTAATGTAGAATATTAATGCTAGATTTTTGATTTGTACCTTTTTGTATATTTAAAATCCGTGCAGTTTGACATTAAACATGATAGCATCAGAGAGAGCGTCTCACTTTCTAAGTTCCAGTTCACCCAGTTCTTACATTGGTTTTGAAATGTGTTTAAAGCTTTATCTACCCACCTATTTGTGGAAACAGATGATGAATTGTTTTCCACCAAACTCCACTAACTAAACTTTAACTTTTCTCTGACAGGATGACGGGGCTGCGGTCAGACTTTTCTAGTTTGTGTCTGAACCAAAGGATCAAAACACCAAAGTCACGTAACAGGGCAAACTTGCCCGATCAATCGAAGCAGCAGGAGGCAGTTCTGTGTTCTGTGAGGTAAAATTACTGTTTTTATGAATGGAGTCTGGTGGACAGCAATTTGGGTGACTTCCTGCTTACTGTAGAAAGGGCTGTTTGACAGAAGGCAAAGTGGTGAACATGTTCTCAATAGAGCGTCCATCAAACCCAGGTCGAGTCAGATTCTGTGTGGGCGTGGCCTAATCCCACCTGCTGCAAGTAACACACTTGTTGATGTTCAAAAAGAGCAGAGTGAATATTTGTGTGTGGCGTACCTGTGTGGTCTGTCTCAGTGTGCGCTGTGTTTCAGCTTGCTCGGCAGCATTTTCGTCGACTTGCCGCTGCAGCGTGTGCAGCTGGTTGGACTGTTCCTGGATCAGCATCTGAGCCTCCTGCTCTCTGCTCAGAGCCTGACGGAGCTCCACGCACACACTCTGGAAACGCTCGTCTGGCACCTGAACACACACACACGTACGTCATGAAGGTGTTTAGCATGCAGGTGTGTGTGTGTTTTGCCTCACCATTCTGCTCGTCTCCTTCCGGAGTCCTTTCCTCAGATTGGCCACCTCCAGCCGCAGGCTCCGCCTCTCCACCTCTGCCGAATGCAGCCGCTGGCTGAAGACCAGGAAATGCTGCTGGAGGACCGACACCAAACTCTGCTGGCGCACAGAGGTCAAAGGTCAGCAGAGGGAGACAGTTTCTCAGATAAAATTGAGTTTCTTTTGTGTTTAGCGACCTTTGTGTCAGACTGCAAAGACGTCAGGCTACTCAGACCGAGCCTCATTCGGCTGCTCAGTGTCTCCTCCTTCACGCCACAGGATGATAGGCTGGACTCTGATTGGTCGAGGAGGAGATCAAGGAGGCGGGACAAGCTTGCGCAAGCCACTGAGAGCAAGAGTGGAGGGGACGAATCTCGAGAAACAAAAGAAACAAGATTTTTTTGAGGAGGTCTGTGTGTGTGTGTGTGTGTGTTTGCATGCGTGTGTGTTTGTGGTTACCAGAGTCTCCCAGAGCCTCCTGCAGGTCAGACATGGAGGTCAGGATGGTGGATGAGAGACGTTTAGATCCAAACAAACGAGCACAAAGACCTTCACGACCATCAGTCAGCTTTTTGTCTAAATAAAAAAAAAAGAAAAGTTTCTCAGTTTCCTTTTGTTTTTTAAACACACTCCACCAAACATTTATCATGAATGAAACACTTATTAATGTCTGCCAATGAACTAACTGTGCCAAAACTCTAAGGTTTTATAAATCAGGACATGAAAATCCTTCAATCTTAAAATTTGGGAAATCCCAAACCAACTACAAAACACAACATATCACACTGTGTCATTATTTACTTTTTAAAAATGGCGTCTAAATCCAGGAGTGACGTGTGAAAAACTAAGTCCACCCTTACTGCGCCCACAGGAATTCAGAGGCTAAGCAGCAGCCACGTGCTGATAATCAAAAGCACTCAATTAAACTTACGATCATGTGTGAGCGCCTCTATGACAGCAGGAGAAAGCCATTGTTAAACAATCTGAACTCCACCTCTACAGTCAGAACAGATTAATCCCACATGGAAAACATTGGAGGCTGCTGCCAAACTTCCTGCTGCTGCTGCAGTGGACCTCCCCGCAAATTCACTTGAAGGTCGGAGTGTAATTTGAGGCTCTACGGTCCTCAGTTAGCACGCTAAATGCTCGAGTTCTCGACGGTACAATTAGAAAACAACAGAACAAGTGTGGCTTGTTGGGTATTTCAAGACCCTGCCTCTTCTCTCTTAAATAAGGTAGCATGGTTCAATTGCATCTGAAGAAACCGCAAGACTTCTGGAACGATGTGACCGATGGGCACATGAGAGCAAAGCAGAGATGTTTGTCCATAATGCCCAACACCATGTTTGGAGAAAACTAAACACCTCATACCAACTGTCTGTTTGTTATTTAAGATTCAAATGTGAGGAGATGCATCCGACAGCTAAAGCTTGGCTGAAACCAGGTCATACGACAGGACGACGATCCCACCAAACTAACCAAGTCCACACTTCAACTTGATTGAAATGCTGTGGAAGGACTTTAAGAGATCTGTGCACAAACCTCAATCATCTGAAGCAATGCTGTGAAGCAGAGTGGGACAAATTTCCTCCACAGAGATGTGAGAGATCGATAGTCATACAGGAAGTGATGACTTCAACTTCTTGCTGCTAAAGATCGTTCCACAAGCGACTGAATCGTGGGCTGAACTGTTTTTCACAGGACCGCAGCTCCACAGCATGTATGTGAGTCTGGTAGCTTGTCATTACACTGACACTCAGATACACAGTATTTACGCTGCTCTCTCAGCTGCTGCACAACATCAGTGACACACAGCAGTGCAGCACAGTCTGTGTGTGCCTCAGCACCATCTCTAACATCAGTGTGTTACCTTCTGAAGACGGTGTTTCCTTGAGCTGCTACAAACACACTGAAAGTGTTTCCTTTCTTGTTTGTGGAGGTGTGTGTACCTGCTGTGTCTCGAGCCTTCTGTGTCGCCGTATCCGCCCCTCCACAGACGCAGACAGCTGGAGCTCCGCCTCCTCTCTCCAGACGAAGCAACACTGTCGTGTTCCTGGCCAGCGAACACCACCTCCTCACTGCCAGCACAGCACACACAGTCCTCCTCCACCTCTTCGTTGCCCTCCTCGTCCTCTCTCTCTTCTTCTCTTCCTCCTTCTCTTGGTCTTTCTCTCCTTCCAGAGCATCAACCAGCCTCCTCACCTCCTCCTCCAGCTGCTCCCGCTCTGCCAGCTGCCGGCACAGGAATTTCTTCTGCTCAGAAAGCCCACACAGACGGTGGTGAGCGTGCCTCAGCGCTCCACCCAGCAGGGCGCAGGCTAAGAAGAAGGACGAGGACTCCTTGCGGCTTCGAGAGAGGAGGCCTCTGAGCTGGGAGAGGTCAGAGGTCAGCGAAGAACAGCGTTGCTCCAGAGAGGAGGTGCGATCACGGAGAGAGTCGCACTGAGAGCGGCAGACCTGGAACAAAACGTGGAGGGGTTAGCATCCAAAATCAGAAACACGCTGGTTCAGCAAAGAGATGGAAGTGGGCGGAGCTGATGTGTATGCCGCCTCCAACGTAAAAACACACAAACAAACAAAATCTGCCATTTTCAGATCTTAGGTAACTGTGCACATCTGGTATTAACACGGAGTGTGAGTATTTATTACACGGCGTGCTGCGGGGAAAAGCCTGTTTGAGTCTAAGGTTTATTTTTTAGCACCTTTTTTGCTTCTCATCCGTAAACTCTCTGCATTCTCTTTCACGTGATTCGGTTTATTTTGAAGCAGACGATGGAGCCACACTATGGTTTTACCGTCGTTGTTGCTAACGGCAACGCATAAAAACAGGCGCTTGTCCGTCTGTAGTGTGGTTATATTAATAAATATAAGAGAAAGAGAGAACTTTAAGAAATTAATATAGCCCCTACAGTGACCATCAAAACGATAAAAAAATATTGCCGTAAACAGTTTATTTTGCGACACCTCGAAACAAACGATAGCGTAAAATGAAACGATAGATGTTTTATATCGTCATCCGATATATAAAGATAAGATAAGATAGAACTTATAATCCTCGGTGGTCTCTGGAAATTCGACTTCCAAAGAAAACAGCAACGACGAAGTACAGTACAAAAAGAAATGTTATATATAATATAAACAACACACACACACAACACACACACACACACAACACACACACACACAAATATAAAAAAAAAATAAAATAAAAAAAAAAAATAAAAAATAAAAAAAAAAAAAAAAAAAAAAAAAATACAAGTGAATTGCACATTCAAGTATTGAGTCTATTGCACTGTTGATATTACAAAGTATGCACAAGTATGCACATGAGGTGAAGAGCACTGCAGCTAGTTGTTCCCCCTCCTTTGTCCTCCTGTTTCCCCTCCCTCTCCCCTCCAGAGAGGAGTTAAACAGTCTGATGGCGTGTGGGACAAAGGAGTTTTTAAGTCTGTTAGTTCTTGTCTTGGGGAGAAGCAACCTGTCACTGAACAGACTCTTCTGGTTGTTTATGGCCGTGTGCAGAGGATGCCCAGCATTGTCCATAATGTCCATCAGTTTCTTTAATGTCCTTTTCTCTGCCACTGTCACCAGAGTGTCCAGCTTCATGCCGACCACAGAGCTAGCCCTCCTGATCAGTTTCTCCAGCCTGGATGAGTCCTTCTTTGCTGTGTTGCTCCCCCAGCACACCACAGCATAGAAAAGTACTCCAGCAACCACTGACTGGTAAAACATCCTCAGGAGCTTCCTGCAGATGTTAAAAGACCTCAGCCTCCTGAGGAAGTACAGTCGGCTTTGGGCTTTTTTATACAGGTGCTCTGTGTTGCATGACCAGTCCAGTTTATTGTCCACCCACAGCCCGAGGTACTTGTACTTGTTGACCACCTCCACCTCCTCCCCCTCTATCTGAACCAGCAGTGGACCTTCTCTGGACCTCCCGAAGTCCACAACCAGTTCCTTAGTCTTTGAGGTGTTGAGTTGCAGGTGGTTTGTGTGACTCCATGCGACAAAGTTCCTCACCAGACTTCTCTACTCCTCTTCCTGATCATCCAGATACACCCCATGATGGCCGTGTCATCTGCAAACTTCTGAATATGGCATAATTCAGAGTTGTAGCAGAAGTCAGAGGTGTACAGGGTGAAGAGAAGAGGGGACAGCACAGTTCCCTGTGGTGCTCCTGTGCTGCTGACCACTGTGTCAGACGTGATGTCCTTCAGCCTGACGTACTGTGGTCTGTCGGTGAGGTAGTCGGAGATCCAAGCGACCAGGCAGGGGTCCACCTCCATCCTGTTCAGTTTTTCCTGAAGCATACAGGGCCGGGTGGTATTAAAGGCACTGGAAAAGTCAAGAAACAGGTCTGACCGTGCTTTCCCCATCCAGGTGTGAGGGCTTGTGGAGGTACGGATGCATCCCACTCCGAACCACCGTATGCAACTGTAGGGTCTGGGTGTACTGTGGTCGGAGGTGAGGAAGAGCCTAGAGTCTTCATAAGATGACGTCAGTGATATATCGTTATATCGAACAGCCCTAATGCTGGGTGTCACGGATAGATAAGTAGAAACTTATTCAGAACGTGGACTGCAGTGATCATTTTGACAGAAAATTTTGATTTAGTTTTAGTCATAATTTAGGCCTCTAAAATAGTTTTGTCGACATAATATTACAAGATCATAGTAGAATATATGTGAAATGGATTCAGTGACTGAAATAAAACTTGTGGTATTTTTAATGGTGACAGTTGTTTACACGGTTAAACAAAGCTACTTATTTTCTTTTACATTAAACATGAAATGTGTTAACATGTCTTTTCTTCTCTGCTTTCGCATTTATTGCGTTTTCATGAGAAAAAACGTGTAAAGTGTGACGCTGCTCAGTGACACAAAGGTTGTAATAACTTTGTAACAAATCCCTATTACCGGTAAGCTTTGCCTTTTTCTGCTCTTCACTCTTCGGTGAACTTTTTCTGTTGTTGTAAATGTTGCTGCAGAGAATTTTATGCTTCCGGAGACAACAAAGTTGGAAGTGAACAGATGATTTTTGTATCTGTCGTCTCGTCTCTTCGGAGAATCTGACCAAAGGGACTGATAACTGAAATCTTTCTGCTTCCATCCTGCTGATTCAGCTCACAGTGCCTCTGTCGCTGCAGGGCGACGTGACTGACGTACACGAGGCGCCGAAACACCCCAGGGATGAGTGTGTGTGTGAGTGTTACCTGCAGCTCGCTCTGCAGCCCCCTCACAGTGTGCGTGTGCTGTCTGCTCCACTCCTCCTCCCTCCTCCTCACGCTCTCCTCCAGACGGGACAACACACACTCCTGATTCCGCTGCAGCTCGCGCACACACACACTCTTCTTGTCGCACACGCTCTGCAAGTGGGCGATCTGCAGCGAGAGAGGAAAGAAAAACAGGGTGGGGGAGGGGCAACATTTTAGCCACATGGGAAATATAATGTTCACAGTCTGTCAGCAAACTGTTGCAGATGTGTCACAGCTGGCAGGTACAGGAAGTGAAACCTTGTAGCTCAGTGTCAACTCACCGGTTTGTGAAAATACTCTGGGGGTCTCAGGCCTCTGAATGACGCCACAGTCCTGGACAAGACCCCAATTTATTCATATAGTCAGGAAGCTAATGTTAGCCGGCTCGCTCCTATATTGCTTATCAACATGTTTGCTAGCATTAAACAAGATAAAGCCACTTTTATCAGATGAAGCCCATTTAAACAAACAGAAATTTGACTGGCATTCGAGTAAAGTTCTTTCACCATCAAAATATCAATTGATTCAAATTCAACACTCAGACTGTCTATATTTTGACTAACATGTTATCAAGTAGGCAAACACATCTAAATGCAAGTTATCTACAGCTGTGACCACACAGGAACTGATTCCCTCTGACATGATAGCCAGAAACCATACACACTACGTCACTACTAGGCAGACCCTGGTCTATTACTAGATTTTAGATTTATTAACCTGGCGCAACCTCTCTTGTATTTACAGCACAGTAATTTTAATCTGTAAAACTGTAAAATGTAAATAAGGACAAAGAAAAAGGACGAACCTTAAACTACATCTTTGTGAAAAATAATTAAAACGCAATAATAAATAATTAAACATCGTTGAAATCTTGTAGAATTGTACTTTCTTTGTTTCATTTGACAGCCAGTTGCTGATTGTATGCAGTCACTGATGCAACTGTTAGGCTACTTCAAATTATAACTTGTCATCCTGCCATAGAAGGACAATGACATTCAGCATCTACAGGTGACTCTTGGTGACACAAAGTGGCTCTGAGATGTATTTTCTCAACATCAAGGAAAACCAGTGAAGCAATGGGATTGACAGATACTGGTGAGTAACTCATGAAAGCAGAGTGAACACGTTTAAGGGCAACTAGAGTTTAAATAACCCTGTGCTGACCAGGTTTGGCACTTGCACCTAAACAATTTACCGTTTTTCTTAAGATCTGGCTGTGAAAGAAGTTAGTCAAGGCAAACAAAGTTCTCACTAACAACAAATTTTATTGGCTCTGTACCAAAGGAACAATCATCAGAGCTGCAGTGATTAGTCAATCATACTTTTATTCTTGGGGTCTGAAGAGTAGAGCTGAACAGAAAACACCTGAAACGAAACCTGGATTGTTTCTAATGACAAGCAGGGGGCGACTCATCTGGACTTCACTTAATCCTGGTTTCAGATTCTAGTTTCAAGTCTTATTAAATAAAACACATTTATTTTATAAATTGTGTTCATATGAAAGTAAAAAATGTTTTTGAGGTGAAGACAGGATGGGTATCAGTGGGTGAATTCAGCTTGGTTTACCTTGTTGTTGGCTTTCTTGAGGTCAGAGGTCAGCTGGTCCACCTGCTCGCTGATGACATCACACAGCTCCTTCCAGGTGAAGTTACCCAGAATGCTCTGAGATTGATCGAGGAGGACGCAGCCAGCCAGCAGGCGCTGGTAGAGGCAGTAGAGGAAGGACAGATGGGCCTGACACACAGACAGAGGCTCAGTATGAGGAGGCTGTAATGCATTTAAGCCTCAGCTGTAATGATATAATGACATCATGCTGCTGAGAGAGCAGGCTCAAACTGTGACTCTGCTGCCACACAACACACACAACACAAGTGTTTAACTGACAACGTTTCACTTTTTTCATTTAAATTGAGTCAACAGAAGATAAAAATAGTTTGAAAGTAACGGACAGATTAATGCAGCACCAGAATCATAACAAATGTTAAAAATCTCGATTCAGCACCGTCGACTCTTTCTTGTAGTGTTCAGTTATCTCCTGGACGTCTGCTGTCCTCTCCTCCCTCTCCTTCTCTAGTTCTCTCTTCCTCTCCTCCCTCTCTCTCTGCAGCTCGGCCTCCTGGCTTTGACTCTGTGTCGACCAATCAGAGCTCTCCTGGCGTAAGCGAGACACCTCCTCCTTCAGTTTCAGCGTCTCCTGCTGAGACTCCTGGAGAAGAAAAGAGAGAGAAAAACAGGTTGAGACATAAAAATATACCTTCCAACAAACCAGAAAATGTCTTTGCAGATTACACAGAGATCCTGACCTTCCACCAACGTACTGAGAATCTTTAAATAAACGTCCTTTGAAAGTAACAGTCCCTGCTTCACAGAGACACACTTGTGTTAGTCCCATCTATCCAAAAAAGCAAACTTGGTGTTTCCACTCTTATGTCTGCTTATATCACGTCATGTGATTTATATACATGCTGGATTCTGTCTATCAAGGAGCACTTTTATTTATTTTTACCATTATTTATTATGTAAAAAAGAAAACTCATCCAGTGCTCCTGACTTTTCCAGCACTGGCAGTCCACATTAGTCCTATCGTTGTCTGGGATTCCATTTAGGATAAAGACCTGTACTTACATCAATCTGACTCCTCTGATCTGAGGTCAGCTGCTGAAGAGTCTGGTTCTCCTCCTGCAGCTTCTCCGACAGCAGCAGCAGATCCTGGAGCTGCCACAGAAGAAGAGCAGAGGAATAAAATCACAATTCACCAGAAGAAACGCAGAAATAAACGAGAGGAATCTGTACCTGTCTGTCAGTGTCTAACAGCCTCTGCTGGTATGAGCTGAGCGTGGTCCTCAGCAGCTGCAGGACTTCAGCAGGAAGACTCTGTTTCCCATCATCCTCTGCAGGTTGCGCTGATGGTTCGCTGGTGTGCTGCTGCAGAGCGTCTCTGATCTGTTTCACACAGGTCACAAACGCCTCCTCTGTGTCGCACTGCCTCTGAACGGCCTAAACACAGTTCACAGAAATGAGCAAGAAGAATTCAGATATTCGCTTTGATCGTAGCGCGACATGCACACGACACACAAACATGAACACACCAAGTTAAAGCGTGTGTGTGTACGTTTTACCTGCTCCAGCAGTGAGTGTGTGTTTGCATGCTGTCGTTCCTCCTCCTCAAGTTTTTCTGAGAGGTCGTAGGTCGTCTTCCTCTCCGTTTCCAAAGCAGCGCTCATGACAGACTTGCACTGCTCGTACTCTAACTGCAACCTGTGCACATGTTAGAAATCCCAATTACAGACAACTAAAGAAAATACATCCAGCCTTTAGTGATGTGATTGGTTGATTAGATCAGATGACAGTTTATATATTTTTTTTAGCCGCATTTTCTGCAGTGACCTCACCGCTCCAGAGCGCGCTCAGTGCTGCTGCTCCTCTCTCTCTCCCGGCTGTAAGCGTTCTCCACCTCTCTGAACTGAGCTCTCAGCAGCTCCAGGCTGCTCTGTGCCTCCTGCTGGCCGGACCGCTCCACCGCCACCGCCGCCTCCAGGTCCCGCACACGCAGCTGGTGGTTACATAAACAGGGAGAGATATTGATAAGACTTCATTGATACTTCAGTGATTCTTTGAGTTCCTTTAGTGAATCGTTTTTATTTTAACCTCCTAGAACCTGGCGTCCACATATGTGGACATCACATTTGGGTTATTTAGACCAAAATACTCAATTTTGCTCTACAGGGGCCTGATATCCACCTACGAGGACATTATACTGCTACTGTTCTATCAAAATTTTAAACGAATGTCCTCATATGTGGCTCTCATTTTTCTTAGAAACAAAAATCAAGTAAAAAACAAATCTGGTAATTCTTTGTTTTTACATTCATCAGGTCCCAATCAGCCCAAATATCAAAGAGAAATTAAAAATGCTGTGGAAGAGTTCGGGTCTTAGAAGGTTAAGAACTTTGGCTAGCACAGATAGATCAGATATTGGTCTATAATTAGTTACAACTGCTGGGTCACCTCCTTTGTTGTGGGAGGCTCTGCCACAAAATGCGCTGCCAGCGTCAAAAAGTAAGGATCTATTAAATCAGTCCTGAAGATTTTCTATGATCTAACACTTTAAGAGCATTATGGACAGAAAAAGGGACAAAGTTAAATGGCTGACTGACGTACACCGTATTGCACTACAAAGGGCCTAACTTTGACTCAAAGTGCTTGCTTTGAAGCCGGGATGTTGTTTTAAACCAAAGCGTTCACCTTGTTTGCATTTTTAACAGCTTCACAGGTTCTGAACTCGAGCTGGTCCTTGATTCGAGTTGTGGATCACACAGAGATTTTATCTGATCCAAGGCGTTTAAAAAACTATTGATGTGTTTTCTCTGTTAGTGAAAACCTCTCTGCACTTTAATTGAATATGTTAAAGCTCCGACTCTGCGCGTTTGTTACCTGGACGATCTCAGAGTTGAACTTTGTCTCCAGGTGAGCACCTCGCTCTGCCTCGATGTTCGACTGAAGAGACTTCACCCTCTGCTCCAGCAGCTGGAGAGAGAAGACACACATCTGTTCTTTCTCCCGTTTCCCACCCAATGTTAAAAACAGGAACAGGGTCTGGCCTCACCTCCTTCTCCCTGCGGCTCCTCTCCTCTCTCTCCATCAGCTGCTTTAGCTCGTCGGCACGTCGTCTTTTCACCTCGGCCTCCTTCTCTCGCTCCGTCTGCACCTTGGCCAGCCTCGTCTCTGACTCCTCCAGAGCAACCTCCTGATCCTTGCAGACCAGAAGACACAAACCAAACCCCAAGAAACTTGTTTGAGGGTGAAGAAATACTGGATTCAATCTGTTTTTCAGCCCATTATTAGGCTGGTAAATGACATAATGTTTTAATCATGTTTAAGTTACATTTCTGAGTTTTTCTTTGTCACATGAAGACTAAAAACAGAGCTCTTTTCTGTTGTGACTCTAACCTTCAGCAGTTGGTGCAGTCTCTGGTTTTCAGAGCTGAAACTCTGAATCAGTCGATCTCGCTCCTCCACCTCACGCTGCGAAGCGTGCCGGTCTCCCTCGCTGGCCTGCCGCGTGATGTCCAGAGCTTTCTGCAGCTCCTCGACCGCCTGCTGGAGCTGCGCCGCTCGCTCTAACACACAAACACAAACATTGTCAGAGCTGTCGGTGCTCTAAGCCACGACGTTTATAGAGCAAGGGATTGATGCGGTCCTGCTGAGGACAGGATTTCCTGAGTACAGATGAAGAGTTCTTATATTTCTTTGACTTGTCGACATGAAAAACTCTACAAGGACAGAACTTTGTAGCACTTCATTTCACAGATCACGCTACAATCAAAAAGGAAGGACTATTAAAAGTCTGCTCTGTTAAAGTGACATCATGTGTTGCACTAAACTACACTGCCAGCTTTATTCTAATTGGCCGATTTCGGGAAGCCTGCTCCTGCGGGGGATCGCACGCAGCATGAAGCAGAAAGGTGCGTTGGATTCGTGTACCTGTGAGCGCCTGTTTGTCTCTGCTGAGCTCGGTGATTCGCTCGGCATCTCTGCGGCTCAGAGTCAGTTGGTACTGAAGCTCCACCCTCTGAGCCTCGCCGCGCTCCACCGAACACCGGAGCCGGGTCAGCTCTGCCTGCAGCCGACACACCTTAAACACCACAGTAACCACACACACACACTTACATTATTATTATTTATTTGTAGCTGATTATTTATCATTTGCTAATTATTAATTTCTGTCCAAAGTTTTATCTTTCTATCTTGAACATTTTGGATTTTCGATGCATTATTTGCACTTTTTTGCCAAAACTCTGAACCTTCTTTCTCACTCCTTCATATCTTTTAATCATAATTATGATTTTCATCTTTGGTCACAATTTCAGGTGACTTTATTAAACGATTCACCTCTGTTTAGACTGTTTAGATGACATGAAGGGGGTAATTAGCTCTTGAGAGCCAAACCGTTTTTGTAGCAGGCTGTAAACATGTTTAAAGTTGGACATTTTGCTGCTGGAGCCTCAAGTGGACATTAGAGGAACTGCAGGTTATGATTGGCTGTAGCTCACCTCCTGGTTGTGGCTCGCCTTCAGCTGCAGTTTCTCTTTCTCCACATCATTGACTCTCCACCTGAGCCTCCTGCAGTCCTCGCCCCCATCGTGCCCTTCTGACGCCACCCTCCTCCCTCCCCTCCCCCCATGTCCTCCGCTTCTGTCTTTCCCTCTTCCTCTCTCTTCCCACTCCTCTTCCTCCTCTCCTTTCCTCTCAGTCCTCCTTCTTCGTCGGTCTCCTACTGCCTGCTTCTGTTTCTGCTGCGGAGCGTCAAAGCTCAAATTTGACCTGAAGAAAGCAAGAAACTATTTTTTAAATTTTTTTATTAAATACCCACATAACAGCTTAACTTAATCTCAGAAATGTGATTTTTTTTATGTAATAATTTTTAAATTTAGCTGATGCTGTGAACACCTTCAAAGAGCAGATTGTTTTTAATCAGCCTTCTGTCCAGATTCTTCAGATTCTTCAAAAAAAAAAAAAAAATCGACATTTTTGTTTAATTTCCACCTTATCTTCTGACTTTTTATCTCAAAATTCACAGAATCTAAAGCTCATTTCCCCACATTTTTATGACTCATTTATACCATTCATAAAAGACTAATTTCAACATTTATAATGTCGTGTTGTGTTGTACGTGGGACAGTTTTCCAATGTACTATTGTACTATGTATGACTGTGCAATGACAATAAAGAGTTATCTTAAGTAAAAATTATAACTTCTTATATAGTAGCCTTTTTAAGATCTTTTTAAAAAATATGTCGAAGTATGCTTTTAACCCCCCCCCCCCCCCCCCTTTCAAACTGTTCCCTTTTTGGCTGTTATTTTAGTTTAAATCTTAAAACTAAAGAAAAAACAGTCATTTAATTCTTCAATCATCCAAAGTTTACATTTTTAAGGCCAACTAGGTCTTAAAATTTGCCTGCACCCACCTTGCCTTGTCCTCCCCGGAGCTCCGGGCTCTGCTGCCCGCGGGTCTCTCTTCGATATCCCGCGGCTCTGCTCTCCTCTCCCCGCTCTCGCTTCGGTCAGGTTGTCTCCTCCTCTTTGCTGTTTCCGTCTGCATATCTGAGTTCAGTGAACCTGGAATTGCATTTAAATGTCTGTTACTGTCACGCCTGAAGCTGTCCGATTTCCTCTTTGTGACCCCGGAGACTCTTTTGGTTGCTTAGACGCTGCTGTTGCCCTGCCAGCAGACGCACACGAAATTACAGCGAGCTCTGTTTACAAATCGTCTAAGTTAATTATTGCCTACAAATAATAAAGCTTGCACAAGTTCTACAAAAACAGTTACGACTAGTGATGAATAAACGGACCAGGTGATCAATTCGGCATCAGTAACAGAGCCCCCCAAAAAACCGTATTTCCGCAAGATTTCTATTTTATAACTTAAATCTCTACGTATATCTTCAAGCGCTATAAATACTTGTCAGGTGTTTCCTGTTGGGATTTTTATCATTTTACATAAGTCTTTGTTGGCTTAAATGTGTACCGAATTATTTAAAATACTGTCTTCATCCTAACCAAATTGTTGAGTTTTCACTTACCTCTCTGACACTTGCTATCTATCGAGTCAGCGACGAACTCCATTGTTTTGTTAATGAAGCTTTGTTCTCGTACGATAAACAGTCCCGAAAAATACTCTTACTTAATAAATAACCAACATTGGAGGGTTTTTTAGCTTCAAACCCGTGTTTAATCATTATGCGACGCTCAGTGGCATCTTATCTAAGCACACATTTAGAAAGAAAACGTTTAAAACACTGTTATTAACACTTACTGTCGCACTAAAACCGAAGCCGTTTGAATCTGACGCCATCTTTAGCGTCAGTACGTCGCTTCCGGATCAGCGCTGGATTGGCTGGTTAAAGTTTTTTTATATACGTATTTATTTTTATTTGTTTTGAATGCATTTTATTTATCTTATACTCAATTTTAGAGCAGTTTATCAGATTAAATTATATTTCATTAAATTTAGTAATTTTGGTATAATTTAGTTATTTTTAGATGAACATCAAAGAGTACTCACAGGATTATATATATTAAAGAGTTACAAATATTTCCATCAGAACACACAATATAAGCGAGTAAGCTTCAGCATATTTATTTTTAACTCTTGACCTTTAAATATATTAATTTGCTGAGTGTTCTCCTGCGTGTGTGTGGTTTATTTAACTACAGCTTGGGGGCGGTATGAGGCTGGTTTTCACCTGCATCGCTTCTTTAATTCAACGTAAAAGAAGAAGAAAGGCAAACCAACATGGCAGCTACCACGGAACACGTTGAAGTAGCGTCAGAAAGTTCGGAAACTGAGCAAAAAGAAGCTCCGGAAACCACCCAAGACCCCGAAACGTCTGATTCTGAGCCGGCCGGCTCCGAGCCAGATCCGGACCCTGATGAGGACGAAGACGAGGATGCGGGGGAGCCGCAAGGACCGAGAATCCGAGATACCCCCATGGACCTCCAGCTGGAAGCGATTGCCAACACGGTTGCTCTGCACCCGACCAGGGACGTTTTGGCCTGCGGGGACGTGGACGGGGACGTGTACGCTTTCTCGTACTCGTGCACGGAGGGCGAGAACCGGGAGCTGTGGTCCTCGGGGCACCACCTGAAGTCCTGCCGCCAGCTTCGCTTCACGGCGGACGGAGAGAAGCTGTACAGCGTGTCCCGAGACAAGGCCGTGCACCAACTGGACGTGGAGCGGGGGCAGCTGGTCACACGGATCCGAGGGGCCCACGGGGCGCCAATCAACAGTTTGCTCCTTGTAGACGAGAACATCGTGGCGACCGGAGACGATGGAGGCACCTTAAAGGTCTGAACAGGGTCTCGCTCCGTCTTTACCCCGAATTTGAGTCTGTGTTTTTAGAACACACCCAGTTACCAGAAAGAGATTTAAGAGATCTTTTTGTGCCAGATTCAGTCATTAATACACAACAATTCAAAATTTAAACACTGAGGATGTTGAGTGTTGGAGGGGTCATAATTTGAAGAGGTGCACTGGTTCTGATGTTTAGAAGCAACTGAAGCAAAGCCTCTGTCTCCTCTGTTCTTGAGTCTGCTTCTTGGAACAACCAGAAGCATCAGGTCAGCTGCCCTTAAAGATCTGTTTGCAGCGTGCTTAGTTAAAAGTTGACAAAGGTAAGAGGGTGAGACTGCAGTTGGTGACTTAAAACACACATTTTCAAATTAAATCTAAAACGTACTGGAAGCCAAAACAGGTCAAATATGGTCTCGTTTAGCTGTGCCTGTCAGGGGTCAAGTTGCTGCATCCTGAGCGAGGATTAGATGAGAAAGCAGAGCCTGGAAGTAGAGCACATTGCACCTCTGCACTCCCGTCAGACTTCACCATTCTCCACTCCTTCAGTTTGCGGTCGCAGTCATCGCTCTGCTCGCCGTAACATGCCGTGAACCTGTTCTTCACCTTCTGTCGGTTCTGTTTGTAGTGACCCATGAGCTCACAGAGGACCTCTGGAGTAGAAAAGAACGACTACAATTGTAAGCTGCAGTCCAACCATGCTGGACGATTGGGCTCCGTGATCCTTTGACATAGACGTGCAGTCTATGGAGCAAGTTGTGTAAAGCACATTCAGAGTTCAGAGTGAAAAACTGTGCATAACAACTAGTCCATTCATTATTTACATCTTGTAAGCAAGTGGCAGCCGTTGTTGCCATTTATGCTTATACTGGTGCATCATGTGCTAATTACCATGTAGTGATGTCCGGATGTTTCATATGCAGTGCCAGCCATGATGGAAACAAAGTGTTGTAATGTTTGTTCCCTGCAGGGTTCTCACTCTCTGTTGTAAAAAGTATTCATTCACTCATCCAAAACATTACATTCAGGTGTTTGATTCACTTCCACTGCCACGCTGAGGCATACAGACTGCTTCCACAAACATTTGTGAAAGAATGGGTCGCTCTCAGGAGCTCAGTGAAATCCAGCGTGGTACCGTCATGAGATGCTACTTGTTCAACAGGTCCGGTCATAAAATTTCCTCAACACGAAATATTCCACAGTCAGCTGTTCGTGGTATTATAACAAGCTGGAAGTGATTGAGAATGACAGCAACTCAGCCATGAAGTGGTAAAATGCCAGAGTGGGGTCAGCGGATGTTGAGGCACATAGTGTGCAGAGGTCGCTGACTTTGTGCAGAGTCAGTTACAGCAGACCTCCAAGCCTCATGTGACCTTCATATCAGCTCAACAACAGTGCGTAGAGAGCTCCATGGAATGGGTTCAAATCAGCTGCTTCTAAGCCTTACATTAACCAGCTCAATACAAAGCATTGCAGTGATGTTAAGCACACCGCCACTGGAGCACTGGAGATGGGTTCTGCTGTATTGATTGATGCTGTCGCCCTGTTTCTTCTGGTCTTTGGTGGCCACAATGTCCCCTTTCAGTGAGTTCAGTTTTTAAATTCAGGCTTACCTCCCTGTCGTTTGTTTCCTCTCCGAAGGTGTGGGATATGAGGAAGGGGACTGCCATCATGGACCTGAAACACCACGAGGATTACATCAGTGACATCACTGTGGACCAAGCCAAGAGGATCCTGCTCACAGCCAGGTAACAACAACTACTGATCAACTATAGACAAAATCTACTGAACAATTCAAAAATCTCTCTGGATCACTTGGATCTTTTCACATCCAACAACCATGCAAACTTTACATTCACTTAATACTTTATTTTCTGAGAGTCTCTTTTCTGAAGAGCATAAGCTCTGAAAACTTGATAAATACTGGAAATATTCCCAAACAAATCATATTTACACAGCCTCCAAGTGTCACAGTGGTGTAGGTGTAGCTCCGGAGGTAGAAGGTTGGTGGTTCGATTCCTTGATGCTCCAGTCTGCATGCAAAATTAACCTTGTCAAATATACTAAACCCCAAGTTGCAACTTTTTGGCTCTATCCAGCTTTGACAATAAGGTAAGTTTAACAACGTGCATAACTGAATGTAGAAAATAAGAAAACTCCTCCATAGTTTGCTGCTCTAGAAGTTATACCACCGTGGAAGGTCTCGTCTTTACCTCTCAGCTGTGATAGGCCGACGGCGTGACCACCAAAATATGTGAATATGACAACATGGCCTCAAAAGGTCATGGTCAGAGGTCAAGTTTTTCTAAACATCACCTGTCAAATTTAATAACACAGGTGTGCTGCTACGAGGCTGAGGAGCAGCACTGGTGGCTGTCAGCACTTTGTTTTGAACGTACATTTGACTGAAGGCTCAAGTCTAACTTGGATCTTCTTCTGATGTTTTGATACTCACAGTGTCATTGATGTCGAGTTTTCCCAACTTGGCATCAAGCGTGTGTGCTGCTCAGCTGCTACTATAAAGTGAATCAAGATACAGTTCTGTGCAAAGTGCTGAGGCAGCCCTCATTTCTTTATATTTGCCAGAAAAATGGCAAATGTGCAGGCATTTATGAAAATATAGTATAGAAGCGCAAAAGAGTTTGTATGGTTCTAACAAGCTTGCAAGTCAATAGTTGCTATGACCACCTTCTAGATATGTTTTTGCTGCATTGGCAGTGTGCTTAAGATCATTATAATGCTGTAAAATAAAGCTCTTTCCCAAATGTGAAGCGTCTGATTGCTCCAAACTGCTTCCAAAATGACAAGAAACCTGACTCATTGGAAGGAAAATATGAAGAAGTGACGGGTGACTCAAGACTTCTGTACAGAGCTATAGCAATAAAATGAAGAGTTGACATCCAACTGAAAACAACATTAATTTAGATCCTGGTACAGTTTTCACGAGAAATAAGTTCCACAAGAAGTCAGTCATGGCAGCAGCTCACCTGATGGAATTGGACGACTCATTTAAAATTCAAAAGGCTTGAAGCCTGAGCCAGTTTGTAGCCCACCATCAGCGATCAAACCCTGACCCAGCAGCAACTCTTTGACTCATCTTAACTTAAGCTTCTTTTTTTGTTTTTACATCAGTAAGACACTCAAGATACTCCAAGGAAACCCAAAACCATTACAGACTGTGACGCTTGGGGTGGTTGCAGTTTTTTGCAGAGCTTCGATATGTTTTTAGCCTTGGAGTTTTCACCTGGACGTCACGTGCAGCTATAAAAAAAATCACATGAATTTTAAAGTTTCCCAAATTTCAACCAAACTTTATGCGCTTAGGTGTTCTTAGTGAAAACATAAAGTTTCAGGGTTTTATTAGATATGATGGAGTTAAGGTACAGAAAAAAGCCAGAAATGGTGATCCTGAGCTCACCATCTGAGCTCCAATCTGATTTGCTGTGATTTGTCACAGTGGCGATGGCACCATGGGCGTCTTCAACATCAAAAGGCGGCGGTTTGAGCTGCTGTCAGAGTACCAGAGTGGTGATCTGACCTCAGTGGCGCTGATGAAACGGGGCAAGAAGGTGGTTTGCGGCTCCAGCGAGGGGACGATCTACATCTTCAACTGGAACGGCTTTGGAGCCACCAGTGACCGCTTCGCTCTCAAGGCTGAGTCCATAGACCAAATCCTCCCAATCACTGACAGCATCATGTGCACCGCCTCCACAGACGGGTACATCAGGTGAGTTGTGTTAACATTGAAGGTTTAATACAAAATACAGTGTGATATACAGCTGGAAATATCTGCCAGTTTGAGCAGATTATGAAAGTTCTTCTTGCTTTTGACATTACTATCGATTAAAAGCCCTGTTAGCCGTCTGTTAGCCTTTACTGCAGAATCACTAAAACACAGAGTGTTACTCAGGTAATTTAGCATCTGTGCAACATGTTGGTGACAAGAAAAAATCATCTACCAGCAGGGCGCCAGACTAACTTTTTGCCATAGTTGCACTGGGTGCACCTAGCCCAAAAGTTAGGCGCACCCAGATTTTTCAACCACATTGCTCAACACCGCAGTTTTACATGTGCACATTTTTGGGGGGGAAATTGATGTCAATACAGACAATATTGATTTGTGAATGATTAACTAACAATCTTGTGCTTGTGCTTAAAGTGCTTTGGTATTCTTTGGCAATATTGTAGAAAATCTTAAACTTAATCATCACATCGGCCTCCTCTGTTTGCTGCTGTTGCTGAAAGGCAGTGGGGAGAGGGGACACTTGGGCAGTGCATTTACCACAACATATAGTGTTCTCTGGATACACTGGGCTTTTTCAGCGTTCAGAGGTTGATGGCTCTGTGTCAGAGCAGTGGCTGTGAATTTCAGACTGATCAGGCCTTAAGTTAACAAAAAAGTTAGCAATAGTTCTTTTCCTATTACAGCTACATCCACTTCTCTCAGGCCTAGGCTGCTCACTAGGGCTGGGTATCATCACTGATTTCTATAATCCATTCAATTCCAATTCACAAGGTCCCGATTAGATTCAATTTAGCCTCAGACAATCAGAAATAATATAATTCTGATCGTTTATCAGTACTGACACATGTGAGACTTCATCAGAGGTGTGAACATCACAGCAGATGCCTTTGTGTGAAAGTAACTGAGAATAAAACACAGAAAAACATGAAGGAGATTTTCCTGGTCTGGCTTTTTATAGCAGATAACCTTGAAAATATTCTACAATGTTCTGCAATTTTGCATAATTTTAAAAAGTTTAAATGTCTTCAGTATTGAACAGCAGAAATTAGGCTTTCTTGTCCATTTAAGTTAAAAAAAAAAACCCCACAGTGGCCGACAGCGCTGTAAACAACGGTAGACTGGTGGGTTAAGGTTACTCACCTCTCTCTCTCCGCCCACCCTGCACTTTCAAACGTACACGCCGACTACATGAATATCTGGACCACGACCAATCAGAGAGGTCCCTCCCCTGACTATCTCTGATTGGCTTAGACCACGATAGGGGCACAATGTGTGTCTGCTGTTGACCACACGAAGACTTTCAGAGTTGCAAAGACTTTTTTTTTTTTTTTTTTTTTTTGTTACTCGAACAGTTGGCCGCACCGTCGTGCCATTGGAAAAAAATTGGTCTCATTTGTGACCAGTATACACCATCTGTAAAGTTGTCAGTACACGTTTGTCTGATCATCTGTGAAACTGCATTGAGTCAGAGTTGTTTTATGCTGAAGCTGATAAACAAATGGTACTCGTTAAGACTCATCAGACATCAGATTGTCAATATAACTTACTAACACACTCTGTCTCTCCACCATCAGAGCCGTCAACCTCCTTCCCAACCGAGTCATCGGCTGCATCGGGCAGCATGTTGGTGAACCCATTGAAGAGCTCGCTAAGTCTTGGGACTCACGTTTCCTGGTCAGCTGCGCCCAAGACCAGCTCATAAAGTTCTGGGATATTTCCAGTTTACCCAACACGACTGTCGATGAGTACCGCAAGAGAAAGAAGAAAAACGGTCGGATGAAGTCTCTCACCAAGAAGGCCCATGGTGACAATGACTTCTTCTCAGGACTTGTAGAGGAAACTGAGAAGGAGGAGGAAGAGGAACAGGAGGAAGAGGAGGATGACAGTGACAGCGATTGAAAATGGTAGTCATTAAGCCTTCGGACAGATCAGTCCTAGAGAATGGGTGTGTCTGCTGTTTGAGTCGGGCCTTTGCCTTTGGTGGATTCCAGTATTGTTAGAAACAAACAACCACTGAGGACTAAACAGAGGTTTATTTTCTCTTGAAATGTGCCGGGATTAAATGTGAACGTCTCAGAGGAGAAAATGCTCTTCAATATTAATACTGTACATCAGTTCTGGCTCTTTAGTGGTTGGTTGTGCATGTGCTCAGTGCTTCCATGAAACAGTTTGTTAAATGTTTATATACTTTGTGTGAAAATTTGAGGAGGTTTGTTGTCAATCATATTAAAATAATTTATAAGAACTTTAATATTAGATGTTGTGGTATCAGTACCAGAAGTCGGGTGATGGGGCGATGAACCTGATCCAGAGTAACGCTAAGATCCAAAAACAGACTTTGCTGTTACATTTATACGCCTGCAGGATATCCTGTAAATCTGCTGAAAGTTGTGTTGTATCAAACTCATTTCTCTCAATAAAAGTGTTGTTTATATTTAACGAATTACTCATTTGAACTCTTAAAATTTAAAAAGGAAGTATTCATTTTGTATTGACGGATCTCAGCCATCCGACTGATGGTAGTCTAGGAGCTTGGAAAGAAAAGTTACTGGACTTGTTTAAGCTACTTGAAGACGTTTAATTTCTCATCCAAGAAGCTTCTTCAGTTCCGAAACAAAATGGTGGAGAGTCCCAGGAATGTAAAGGCCAGTGGGGGTCGTGCCTTAAGAGGGTCATTGACTTATGATCAATAACAACCCCTGTTTCTTTGTAACATTGCTGTGACAGGGTTTGTGTATAATTTGACACATTAAACACTTAAAACTACAATAACTGATTTTTGTGTTCTTGTTTTCAGCAGAATCACAAACAGCACAGGTTGGTTTTCCACAGAAACACAGCTCATGTTCATGTTTATGCTCGAGGCAAACACTGAACTGTATATGTCAAAAGGAAATAATGTTTGGTATTTATGCCTCCATGAATGAAGTGAACTTACGACAAACGGGTTTACAACACATGAGCATGTTTTATTCTCTGGATGGTGAAGGCTTCAAACTTTGCATTTGTGAGGTTGAACTTTTATAAAATTGTGTTTTGTTGCTGTTTAGAGAGCAAATCTGTCAAATGTCAGTGTGATGACTCCAATTTTACAGATGGATGAGGAAGCATGAAGACATTTGTTTTCTCTTTGTTTGTCTGACAATGTACAAATTTCACATAGCACGCAGTTTTTTGTCCAATCAGAGGTGTTGAAATGTCAGCTGACTGACCCTCTCCAACATGCTCCGCCCTCTGCTCTGCCTGTCTGTAAAACAATGATTTGCACATATCTCATCAGTCTTGCACAAAATATAAAAATCTATTCATTTGATCAGAGCATTGATCCATGTTTGTGCAGTGTTTTGTTTTTGCATTAACCCCAAATATTTCCCTACAAAATAAGTGACAAAGTGAAACATCACATCAACCATTATGGAGTCGCCCCTGATATAAAACCATGATGTGATCCAAACTGAGGATTATGCTTATTATGAAGGAGAAAACCACAGAGAGATGCTCAAACTGTTTTTATGTCAGGCTGTAAAACATGTTAACTTCTGCTATGAGTTTAATATTGAACATTAAATGCTGGGACACTTTTACCTGAATAACCAGTGACTTCTGAGTGAGATCAGAGCACAGCCTCATAAAGAGGAGCTGTACAAGTTCTTGACGCAGCACATGTAGCAGACCTAGTTCCAGGAACCAACGCTGCATCATGTGACTTCCTCTTCAGCACTAAAGAATGCTGCTGCTCAGGTCCTGTGAAGACAAATGAATAAACAAATCAATGCTGTCAAAAAATTTTAAAAATGGTACATTTTTGCATTAAATGCATCACTGGGTGAGGCCAAATATCTTTTTACATTACACCACAGTCATGAAGAGTGTGAGACAAAATGTAGACGCAGTTGTATCACAGCTGTTAGCAGGACAAAGAGCTTTAAGAAGACATGAAGAGCATTATTGTTGAATGTCTTTAATCCTGCAGTGACAAACTTATTTCAGTGTTTCCTGTTGCTGTTGTCCTGTTTGTGTAAGAAGAGGCTGAATAAGCATCCATCAGTGGGAGGTTCCCATCAGGTGTCTCCACCATGGACTCCACCTCCATCCCCATTCTTGAGGTTGGAGGTGGAGTCCACGTCCGTCTCTCTTTATTCACATATGGTGAGACGGACGGAGAGAGCAGCGTCTTCTTCACAGAGACACCACCTGCAGAATCACCAGAGAGCCTCCTGAGCAGCAGCCTTCATCCTCCTCATCCTCCATCAGAGCTGCAGGTAAGACGAGCTGCACACCTGGACTCTTGCTCTGCCTCTTGTAACACACATCAGGACGGCTCAGTGGACACATTTCAGAGCTGAACAACACATCAGTGTTAGGACTGTTAACAGACTGCACAACAAACACATCACAGACAGATGAAGGTGTGAAAACCGACTTTTAGTGTTTTATCCAGATGTTAAAAGCTGAGTTCAGTGTTTTGGGGCTGGTGGTCATCATTCCTCCTGTTCTTACTGGACGTCAGGAGATCCTTTCCTGATGTGCTTGGAGCACAAAGCTCCACAGAGAATAGATTTGAATGTTTGTCTAATTTATCATTGTTGGAGACAAACTTCCTCAAACTGAACTAAAGTAAAACAGAAACATTTTATTTGAACATCCCAACCTGTTGCATGGATACGACAGTGCCGTTGGTCTGTTAGTGTTTCCTGTCAGGAACCTCGCTTACTTTCAGCTCAAGCTGAGCTCAATATCCTGGCTTTTTATGCACTCACACTTTTATTTACTTGTTTTATCTGATTTATTATTTATTGTTTATTTACTGACTGTTTGTATGCAGTGTATATTTCTATAACTTCTACAGCACTTTGGTCAACAGGTTGTTTTAAAAAGTTCTGTATAAATAAACTTTGACTTGACTGACAAATAAAGTAAGGCCAGCATTGCATTGTTGGCATTATTTGGTGAATTTCCAACAAGCTGGTGACTCGCCCTCCTGCCCCTGCCTCACCTTTCTTTTTAAAATCAACCAATCAACACTGGCAGCTTACAGGTGCTGCCAGAGGAATGCAGTGCTACTGATTTGACATATTAAACACTTTAAACTACAATAACTGATTTTTGTCTTCTTGTTTTCAGCAGAATCACAAACACAACACAGGTTGGTTTTCCACAGAAACACAGCCCATGTTTATGTTTATGCTCGAGGCAAATACCAAACTCTACAAGTCAAAAGGAAATAATGTTTGGTTTGATGCTCTGCCCCCTCCTCATCCTTACTATTCTCAGCTTGCTGACAGAAGGTAAGTGCACACAGTTTGGAGCCATGTTGAATGTGGTCAAAGAGGCTACAGATGAGGAATGATGAAAAAATGTAAAAAAATTAAACAATTAAACAATTAAAAAATTAAAAAATTAAAAATTAGCACATTTTCATTCATTTCTGAGAAAAAAATAATAAAAACAAAACTTAAAGGCTATTTGTGTGTAACTTTTAGTGTGTGAGGTCTATTCCCCCATGAAAAGTGCTGATATCTTTTTGATAAAACAGGTTGATGAAAGCATGAGCATCAACAATGTGAAAGCAGTAACTCATGAAATTTAGCTTCTTGCTGCCTATTTGGTCAGTCTAAACTATGCACCCTGGAGATGACATTAAAAAGTTAATTTATTATTGAATTGAATTGAATTGAATTTATACTGAAGGGCCACCATGTCACAATTTATTCCATGTCTAATGCTCTCCAAACTTGACACCTTTGATAAGAGTCCCAACCTGAAAATTTCAACAACTGATCAAGTTTAGATCTATGTAAATTAATAAAATTGGTACAGACTGGAGTTATAACAAACTTCAGTTTATATAAGAGTCTGAATCTGGACATATTTACATCCCAATATTTTCTCTCAGTGTCCTAAGTAGTGGCTGTTCTCTAACACCACTTAGTGTGCACAGGAAGTGTGCAGCAACCGAATATAATCCAGGCTTAAAACAGTCACATGGCTGCATTAAAAGCCCCGACTGCAGCTCAAGTTGATGTGCACCAAAGAGTCAGGGTCCTGTCATTGTTGCAGACATTTAATTTTAATTGTAATGGTGATATCAATTAGGAAACTAGACACACATTTTAATTAAAGCTCTGTGGGACTGAACATTAGACAGACATAATATTTCAAAGTCCTTAAAACCTCATATTCCATCCCTGGCTTTTCCAGTCAACATTTTCCTGTATGAATGTGACTGTCTCTTGCTTGCGGTGAAAGTTTTTTGCTTTTTTTTTTTTTTTTTTTACTTCAGGTGATTCCCAAAATGTTGACCCCTGTAACAGCTACACTGTACTGAATGATGAGTGGCGTTCAACGAATAACATAAATAATCCAGTCCTACACTGTGATCAATCTATTAACTGGCAAGGCTGGTACCGCCTGTTTCTGGGGAGCTCCAATGCTCGTATTCCTGAGAGCTGTATAGACACAAACAGGTGTGGAACCCATGCTCCTCTGTGGATAACACATCCTCATCCCACACAGCCAGGTGAAATTGTAACTCGCACTGTGTGCAACAACTGGTCTGGAAGCTGCTGCCGGTTTGCATCACACACCATCCAAGTCAAACTATGCTATGGAAACTACTACGTCTACAAACTTGAGAGGCCATCTGAGTGCTACCTTGCGTACTGTGCAGGTATTGTTACCATTTGAATATGATTACAGTGTAACAAATTCAGCTTTTTAATCTTTTTGTTAAATTAAACAGTTCATAAGAAAAATGGTTTCAGCACCAGAGCAGTGTTATTTGTTTGTTTCAAGCTTCCCCAAAGAGAAATATTTTAAAGTTACCAGCCACTGCCAGAATGTTTGATGATATCCACTAATCTCCTAAAATATGTTGCGTTACGAATATGAAAACAATGAATAGATCAAAAGAAAGAGGAGAGAACCCAAACAAAATTCTGCTACCTTCAGAATTTAATTTTATATCAGCACTTCAATATTGGTAATTGTTGTTGAAAAATAAGAACATTTTGGACAAAAACTTGCATTTTGGTCAAGTTGAACCATTGCTGTCCACTGGATGCTGACGGAGTGCTCCTCCTCTCTGCACATCTTCTTTGCCCCAGCATACTTAAATGTTCATATATTCATCTTTTGAACATAACTTTCTTTCCAGACTGTCCAGAAAGTTCCAAATAATCTACTTTCATTATCAAGAAGCCTTTTAGAGCTGATACTGAGCTGTTCATTCCTGTTATCTTTATTTTTAAGAAAATTATACACCTGTGGTGCCCAGTGTGGTGCCCAGTGTGGTGCCCAGTGTGGTAGACTTCACCTGCACTGTGACCGGCCCCACTATCATTGACGTCCACGGCCAGATTAACTCCATCCAGGATCGCTGTGCGTACTCTCTGTTCTCGACTCCGTCACTCCCAGATTTCCATGTTCTGGGGAACTTTGAGGACCGGCGTCGTACAGATGTGAGCTTTTTGGACAGTGTGACGCTGCGTGTGGACGGGCATTACATTCACCTGGAACAAGGTGGGAGAGTTCAGGTAAGCGACCTACAGCCACAGTTCATGTGTCAGAGTGGAGTCTGATCCAAAGTCCTCCCTCATCCTCTGCTGTGTCTCCTCGCATCGTTCTTCTCAGGGCTGTTAGAAGCAGTTCTTTCAGAGCTGCTGGACTCAGTGGTTGTTGCTGTGAAATCAGCCTGTTTGTGTGTTTGACATGTTTCACTCAGTGTTTCCACCACTTTGTCTCTGCTGTGATGCAGATGGACGACTCCACACTGACCCTCAGCAGCTCACCTCAGTTGGTTCATGGTGTGCAGCTCTCTAAGGACCAAACTTGAGTCACCGCCAAGCTGTCGCTCTCCAACCTCAACATCTCTGTCTTCTTTGATGGAGACACCGCACAGATCCACTTAGAAAGTACAGAAAATAAAGTTTAATTCTTGTAACGTAAACTGTAAACTGTGCTGTTATTTATTGAGCTGTTGTGTGTGTCCAGTTTGAATATTGATGCTGATCTGACTCATTCTGTCCTGATCCTGTGCAGGACCTGCTGGTTCATCTGTGGAGGGTCTGTGTGGAAACTCCAGCAGGTCTCTGAGTGACCTGAGGCTCTCTGAGTACAGCTCCACCAGGTAAGACCTCATCACAAGCTCACAGTCCCTCTGACTGCTGCTGATGTTGCAGATATTCTGTTTTTATAAAGGAGCCTGAACTTTGTTGTTTGTTGCCCCCTAGCTGTGAGATGCAGTACAGTGAGCCTGCTGACAGCACGATCAACTGCACCAGTGTGACTGAACGGTGAGCAGATCCACACAGTAGGAAACATCTGTGTTGTACCTTGATCTCTGTGGTACATCACATATAACTGCAGCATAGATAGAAGATAAACACATCTGATTACAGATGATCATTTTATTATCTTCAACTTCTTCTTATATCTGTGGTACAGCTGTAATCTCCTGAAGGAGGCGCCCTTCTCCTCCTGTAACAGTGACATTGACCCAGAGCCCTACATAACCGCCTGCACCGACACTTTGTGTAAATATCCTGCAGTGGACGGACTCAACTGTCAGTTCCTGAAGGCCTACGCCAGAGCCTGCAGTCTACACAACCACGCTCTGGATGGCTGGACATCAAAGACCGGCTGCTGTAAGACCTTATTAAGACCTTAATAAGACATTAATAAGCTCTCCTTTGTTAAAGACCTGAACTCTGGAGTTTTAGAGCTCACGTGTTTTCAGGATAATACATCAGTGTGTTCCTCTGTAGCCTCTGAGGCCTTCTGTCAGGACAGGACCTGCAGCGATCACGAGTTCTGTGGTGAGAAGACGGTCGGTGGTGACACTCGCTGCTTCTGTCGGGCCATTTTTGCCTCCAAGTACCAAGAAAACAACTCTTTGGGTACGACAGCTGTGACATCACCATGTCAACAGGGCTGAATGATGGAGGAAAACTTCTAACTGTGATTTTTCTGACTGATATTGTGATGTTCAGGTGATCCAACGGTCTGCATGCAGGACTCTGCTTCAGTCACTCTGGTCGGTTGTCTCCTGGCGGACAAAGACATCAACTACTCTGCCTTACACCTCAACGACCCGACCTGCAGGGGTCAGGTGGACGAGCTCACCCACATGGTGACCTTCAGCTTCAACAGCAGCATCAGCTGTGGGACGGTGGTCACGGTGGGTTTCATCTCCTCCTCTTTACCTTCTACAAGCAGCCAAACATCTTCCAGCATCTGCTGAGCTTCTCCTGCTCTGCTGCAGTTTGAGATCTTTCTGTGAGATCAGCTTCACCTCTGAGCTCTGTGGCTTTTCATCACGTTGATGATCTGTGAAGTTCATACACAGAAACATCAGAGTAGGAGTTTGATTCAGTACAGGAAGAAACTCTCTAATGTTTGTGCTGTGTTAAAATAATGTGACTTCATTTGATGTGCTCGACTTGTCTGCGTGACACGAGCAGTGAAAGGCAGAGACAGAAAGGAGACTAAAGCTGCTGTTGTTGCTTTTAAGAACAAAGTGAATGAGTTTGATGTTTTTGACGTGTCTATTTAGCAGATTGTTTCTGATGAAATCTGTGATTATAATCACTGATAAGATGTCATAAACACTGGACTGAAAAAACAAGGACACTTTCTTAACTTAACTTACTTAACTTCATACTTCTGAGTTAGAGGTCCATCATCTTCAAAGTGTTGATGTTCTCAGATTAAAATCACTGTAAAGAGACTGAAAATAAAGCTAACGTAGCTTCATGTGTCTGTGCAAATAAAGCAAACAGAGCATGATTTACATTCACTTTTTCTAATTGAAAAAAACTGATTCAGTGCATTTTGGGATTAATAAAGTGAATTGTCAGATGTTAAAAGTCAGTAACAACATCTGATTGTGTGACTCTGCAGACCAACAACAGCCAAGTGATCTACAAAAACACCATCATGACCCAGAGCAGCTCCTCTGACATCATCAATGGTCACGACCAAGTCTTCATCGACTTCTCCTGCGTCCAAACACAAGCAGACATCAAGACTGCCACCTTCAGGATCAGAGACAGGTGTGTGGTTGAGTTACTTTAAGATGCGAAGCTTCTCATGAGGTTTGTGGGTCAGAGAAACCTGAAGTGTGTTTGTGTTCTGCAGCTCTGTGATCCAGCACATCACATCTGGAGTTTGGGATTACACTCTGACCATGTGTGCAACCACTGATGTTGGACACACACAAGCTGTGGAGTCCAGCACTGAAGTGCAGCTGATCCAAAAGATCAGGGTGGAGCTGAAGACTGATGGGCTGGATGGAGACGTGGTCGTCGTGGTGACTGACTCCTGCTGGGCAACTGACCAGCCATCAACTAACAGCACTCCGAGATACGACCTGATCATAAACGGGTGAGACAGACTCACAGAGTCATGTGGTTTTGATCTCTCTCATGGACTCCTGAACAAAGTGTGTTTTCCTATCTGTGAGCAGCTGTGCCAACCCTGCTGACCAGACGGTGCAGGTGGAGGACAACGGACTGGGAACCTCCAACTACTTCTCCTTCAGTATGTTCTAGTTTACTGGTAGCTCTGGTGAAGTCTTCCTGCACTGCAAACTCCACCTGTGCCCCAAACAGAACAACTGTGTCCCGGTACAGCTTTGTTACCAAACACATCACACACAATCAAATGTATCTCTCTTCTGTTACGATCATTAAACAGATTATTTTCACTTATTCTTGTTTCTATTCTGACACAAAAACTCAAATGTTCTCAGCAGATTCAGTTCTGAATGAAAGGATCAGTGTTGATCTTCTAAAGTCTGGACTTTGTCTCTCTTTGTCTTTAGACTTGTCCTGCAGGTGCTCGCAGACGCAGATATGCCAGGTCCAAATATGAAGGTGAAGCCTTCATCGGCATGGCCTGGACTCATTAGGTGAGAGAGTTTGTTTTAATTTTTCTGAAAAGTGTTTGTACACAAATTGCTGATTGTTAGTGCTGTAGCAAACATGTTTCCCACAGAGAAATGTCTCCATTCAATTTAAGAGAAAGATATTCTCTGAGTTCCTACCAATGAGATTGTTTCCAACTGTCTTCGTGTAATAAATTTAATGTACTGCCAAGTGAGTGAAAAGCCCTGGCTTAAGGAAAATGTCCATCTCAATACCAACGATAAACATTTAAGAGAAGGAAGTGACACCACAGAGAGGATGAAGGGTTGTTCAGCAGTCACAGTGGGGTCTGGTTTATCTTCTCAGGTGGTTTCCACGGTGACTCAGACTGACCGACAGGTTATTGACCTCCATGATCATCCTTGACTTCTGATTGGTCCTAATCCAGATCCTGTGTTGGGCCTGCGTCCTTGACCCAGCATTTTGAGTTATTGTGGGGTTTTTTTTTCTCTTATGAGATAATGTTAAGTTCTGGGGTTATTATTAGCTCGTCTTAGTTGAAGTTTAGTCTAGTTTATGTTGTTGTCCATGTCTCGTTGTTTATGAGTCTTTTTCCTTTTTTTCATGTGTTATCTCCTTGTCTATAAAGGTTCCCCTTGTGTCTCTCTCCTCTGTGTCCTTCTCCTTCTCTCTGTCTCTTGTCTCAAGCTTGCGTGTCCCAGTTCATGTCGTGTCTCTCCAGGTTTCTTGTTTTATTTTAAAGGTCTGGTTTCCCTGTTCAGTGTGTTTAGTTTTGCTTCCCCTGTGGCATAATAGGTCGTGTCCAAATTCATGGGCTGCATCCTCCTGAGGCCGCATTTGTAGACCGATTACGTCACAGCGACGCGCCGAAGGCTGTCCAAATTCGTAGACTCCTCCGAATGCAGCCGACAAATGCGTCCTCCTTTTCCCCGAATTTGAAGGATGGGTCGGGTGTGTCCTTCGTGGCCTACCACATCCCAGAATTCATAGCGCGGCCCAGCCAAACTCCAGTTTCCAATAATGGCGGCCGCTACTAAGTTTTAAAATTACTCATACTAATCTTTCTGGGTCACGAAATAAACTTTTAACATATTTTCAGGCGAGAAAGTAGTTGTGTAAACATCAAATATCTGCTCGGTTTATCAAGATATCGCATCTTTGCAAAAGTGCTTCGACGTTTTCGGAGACGTCTGCTACCCACCAGCTCGATAGCTAGCCGGGAGCTCGAGGGTTACTGATGCGGCCGAGAACGGCACAACTCCCGGCACATCATTTTCAGATCACCGCGGACTTTCGCTACTCAGGTTAAACGTGATATATAAGTCACTTAGACAACCTAAAAATGTTATTGTTGGGCTTTTTTCAGTGTTTTGTTTGTTTGTGAGTAAATTGGTTTGGCTGAGATTAAAGTTATTAGATTAGATAAAATAAAACTTTATTAACCCCCCGGGTGGGTTCCTCCTTGGTTTTTACACAGCTGACTAAACGTCAAACAGAAAACTGATTAAAGAGAAGTATGAGACGGTCGAGAATTTACGCCAGTGTCCTGTTATATTTTAGATAGGAAGGAGCAGACGGCTGAGTTCATTAAACTCCACCGAGACAGCGGTGACGCTAATCAGAAGGCTAGACCGTCCAATTTCACAGCAGTTTACTTCCGGCCTACCCGACCTTCTGAGGACCCGGCCCACGTAGACCGCGAAGGCCGGGTCCTCAGGAGGATGCAGCCCATGAATTTGGACACAACCATATTCATTTGTGTCAGCTGTTTTTCCCCAGGTGTTTCCACTTCCTTCACTGCTCTCCTATGTATTGAAGTCCTCTGGCTCCGTTTGTTCAGTGTCGGTTCATCTGTTTGTATTTCTTCATGTCATGTCAGGTCTTAGAGTTTTTCATGCTCCTGCTCATGTTCATGTTCTCATGTCATAGTTTTTGTAGTTAGTGTTAGCTTTCCCCAATTTAGTTTCTTGTTTAGTTATGCCCCAGTTTCCCTTGTATTTGTTTTGTGTTTTTTTTTTTCCTATCAGCCAAATAAACAGCTCACTTTTTGTTCTCCCGTTCCTGCTTTTTCATCCGCTATGCAAACACACTGGCCACCCTGCCTTGACAGATCCTGGATGTTAAAAGGCTGAGCTCAGTGCTGCTGTGAACTCCCACAGCTGGAACAAGCCGATGTTTACACTCACTTGTCACATGACTGCATCAGGATGTTCAGTAGATGTCTCTTGGGAAGTTCATGGGTTAAAAGTTAATGTTGAAACTTTAACATGAACTCTCCTCAATGTTTAAATGGGCGATGACAACTGCCTCACAGTGAGATATAATGGATTAAATACATATCATTTATTAATACAATGAATTTAATTTTGGACATATTATATCTACATTATATTACCAAAGTGCGATAGGCACTAGTTTTATGAAGTACACTGGGTAACTGTTGTTTAGTAGCTCATCTTAAAATTACTTCATAGACATATACAGGGTGAACCATTTATATGGATACACCGTAATAACATGGGAATGGTTGGTGATATTAAAGTCCTGTTTGTGGCACATTAGCATATGTGAGGGGGCAAACTCCTCAAGGGTTTGAGACAATCCAGCACATAACAGCAGGGTGCAAGATGCTAGCAGGCAAGGGATACATGGAACGCCATAACCAAGTGGTGTTTCATGTATCCCTTGCCTGTATAGTGTACAGGAACATCTGTGGCAAATATTACCTGGAAGTCCTGAGGTCAAAATGGGAGATGCCCCCAAGGGTGATGGGGAATGACCGAGCTAAGATCCTGTGGGACTTCCAGATACAGACGGTAGAGGACCCCAGCTTATGTATGCATGTACGTATATATATGTATATATATATATATATATATATATTAGGGGTGCAACGATACACAAAATTCACGGTTCGATACTTTGGTGTCACGGTTCAATATTTTTTCGATACAAAAAAATGTTCATGTCTTTTTAATTTGTCATTTATTAAAATTATAAATATATATTTTAACTCAAAAGTACAGTTTTTAAATTTAACCCTAACCCTTGTGCGTGTTTTTTATTTTGACAGTGAATGCGCACCTGCGGACCACTTATGTGCAGCCCTGGTTATTTAGCTCGTCATATTGCAGCCACAGAAATTCTTTTGTCCATGAACCGGCGAAAGCAAATGCCTCTCTCTTTCAAAACTCGTTGAAGACAGGCAATGGTCCAGTCCGAGACCTTCGACGGTAAAGAATCTTCGGGAGACCTCACCCGGGCGTGGGAACAGCGGCGTTTCCTCGGAGTTGGACACTGAGATGGTTTTGATTTCCGGGGTGCTCCGCAGTGCTGGAGACATGTCTCAGAGTGATCCGGTGTGGAGCTCCGCTTTGAACTTTTGCTGGAGGTGGGTCGACCTCTAATAGCGGTTCGGAGGTCGTAGTTTCGCTGGGATGAAGAGCAACCAGAGCCGTTGTATTGCTGAAGCGAGCGGAGAGAGGAGAGAGGAGCAATGGATACAGCCGAGCGGCGAGAACGGCCGCTGGAGCGCTCCCCGGACGGGCCGGTGGTAATCGGGCTTTCCACGGCTGCCCCGCTTGGAAATACAGGCTGCGGATCCAGGACTGCCAGGGGAAATTCAGGCGGAGAAAGAATGAGGTCTTCGTTCAATGGGCTGAGTGACAGGGAATCCATGGTAATGAGCCGAAAGGGTGAGTAGGATTTTAAGCTCTTAGAAAGTTCGCCAGAGAACAGCGGGTATTGGAGAAGGGGGCATTTATAGTCTGAGGTCCGAAGGGGCGTGAAGGAGGAGTGTTCCCGCTCCTGAATTTCAGATGATATCTCCACTTAATTCAAGGCATAATTAAAGAAACATAGGCATGAAAAGCTTATGAAACTATTAAAAGGTGTGACACACGTGGCTGTTTCACGAGTTTAGCCTAAGACAAACGGTGACATTGAAAGACATTCCTTTCCTGTGTGAAGCGCATCACATTTCTCACAGTTGCTGGTGTTTGGATTGACTTTGCAATATTTGCAATGACCCTTTTGTCACACTTCTTGATCTCATCCTCCTGAGCAGCTGAACCTCAAGACAAAGTTTGATGATGGAGCAAATCAGACAACGTATTTGTGAAGGTCCATGGGGCACACATTGTGAAACAGTACGACACATATATGCATCAAGGACGGACTGACATGAAAGAAATGTGCTTTTGATCTTATAATCTTAGAACTGAAAGAGAAATGGACCTGGAAACAGCTGGAAACACCTGGAAACAGCTGATGGCAACAAACAGTTTCTGAGTGGAAGTGACAAAGAAGAGAAAAAACAAACTCTGGTTATTTTATTACCCATGTCCTTTATTTATTTTTTTGGTCTTTTGGAACAAACAGTAAAGCGTGAAGGCGACAAAGCAGAGCATCAAGTCTCAGTTTCATGTGCTGTTATCAACACTGCTGCCTCCAAAAACAACACAGAAAGGAAAAAGTCACCATGAAATCATGCTCACTTTGTACTGTGTGTTTTCTAAAAGGAAAGATGTAACTTCCATATGTTCTTGAGCTTATCAGAGCACTAAAGATCACAGTAAAGGTGATGCTGTCCTGCAACTTTAAGTGCCAATCAGCAGCTCAAATGGGAAACACATAAACCAACTGTTTTGTTTTACTGTCACACAGTTGTTTAAAGATACGACCACAGATCAGCTGACTGCAGCTTTGGTTACAGCTGGTCAGTTTTCTGTCACATGGACTCCAGCACTGGTTTGTTTCACCTGCCTTAAAGAGACCAAATTACAACTTTGATAACTCAGCTGTGGTCCTCTCTTGGTTCTTTCGCTAATAACAGTTCAGCAGCTGTGTCCACTTTGAGCTGCATCCGGCTTGTTTTATAAGACAATCGGAGTTAAAGAGACTCTGCTTGCATACTTCACATGATTGTAATGGTCTGATAACAGGTGAAAAAGAAATCCACACACCTTCACCTTTACAACATTCAGCTACAAAACAAAGAGTAAGAAACCAGATGATCCCCTTTAAATATTTTACCCTGATTACCACCTTCTTAAAGAGATGATTTTCATATTTACTTTTGAATCACTTCATGTTCACAGCATAAACCATTTTTTACTTGATTCACTGGAAATTTTCATCATTTTGTACCTAAATCATTTTAAATTACAACAACCTGAGAAAGAAAGATACCGCTTTGGTTAAGGCCTCACTGTTCATGGATGCGTTGGACCTGTGTTCATATATTTCTTTCTATGAATATAGCCAAGAAATAAATATGTCCAGTATCCTTAACTCAAGTAAAATATCTGACAGTGTTAGTGAGATCTGATTCTGTTAAGTTTCAGGAGTGTAGATTTACCCCAGATTTATTTATATGGTTAGGCTGGAAATCACATGCAGCTCACACTCTTCCCTTTCACCAAGTTACTAATGAAACTGAAAAAAAAAAACATCATCTGAACTTTATCATGTGTCAAAGACGACAGTTTGGTCCTGCTCTAAAAAAACATCTGCTTATTCCAGCTGTGGGAGTTTGCCGCAGAACTGAGCTCAGTCTTTCCAACATCCAAAATCTGGCTTAGGACCAATCAGAAGTCAAGGATCATCGTGGAGGTCAGTAAGTTGTAAGTCAGTCCGAGTCACCATGGAAACCACCTGAGAAGATAAACCAGACCCCACTGTGACTGCTGAACAACCCTCAGTCCTCTCTGTCATGTCACTTCTTCCTCTCATCTGCTCACCATCAGAGCTGAGATGGGCCTTGTATTGTCCTAAAGCATTTTTCTGAATAAATAAGTTCATACGTTTAAAATAAATAATTCTAAACATGTTTGTCATAAAAAAAATAAATACATGTTGTTAAAATGTGTAATTCATGCTTAGGAAGAAATCACTTGATGAAAGGAAGGCCTTCCTTAAAGAGAAAAGAAATATGCTTCAGATGCTGTTCTTCAGACACTCATATTGCGAAGGAATGCAAATCTTCAGCAAAGTGTTCTGAATGTGAAAGCACAGGTCACGACACAGTCCTCCACCACAGACCAACAAGCCTCCACTTCCAGCACAAGAGAATGGCGGGGAGAGAGCAAGCAGTCATGACCAATGTTCCCTCTAAGCTGCGCGTGTTCGCAATTGCGCACTGCTGGCATTGTCTCTGTGCACAAAAAAGCTGTATTGCGCACAAAAAAAAAAAAATCAAACCTAAATTGAAATTAAAGTAAATATGTTAACAATCCTGTTTTGCAGTGTTAGTCAGCAAGTGACTGGCTGCTCCAGTATGTGATAAGAACGATGCCACCTTATCCCATAGTCCAGCCAATGATGCTATTCACATTCGTATATACGCAGCTAATCAACGTCGTCGACAGGCTGTGACAGCGTCCTTATGTGCTGACACCGGTGTTTTAGCTAGCAAAGCGGCGTGGCTGATGTGGAGTGAAGCCAGGTTAATGACAACGTGTTATGATAAAAACATATGTAATGCTTGGTTTTCTTCCTGAATACTATTGTTGTTTATATTTACTGCGAGAAGAAACGGTAAAAACAGCATTTTAAAAGGAAAACGCTCGAAAGCACTCTCCGCCTGTGAGCAAAAACAAAATAAAAAAAAAAAACTCACCCTTTCCTATTGTTCGAAAAATGTCGACCAATCAAAAAATGATATGGCAACATGGCTTTTAGTTGTTTAGGAAAGGGGGGAAGTTTTAAGAGTGACTACGGTGTTTTGATTTGCTACGTTTAGCGCAAATCTTGTATGGTTAGTGTGTAGTCAATAGTTGTGTTGTGTGTGAGAACAATGAGGTGAGTGCTACGGGTGTTACAGGAGTGATACATCTCCTGTTGTCAGGCCTGCAGGTATCAGACTTTTGATGTTCTCGTTTATCTCATAGTGGACACAAATAATTTTTTGGAGTGGCACAAATAATTTGTGTGGCATCAGATTTGATGCAGAACAGCTGATTGTTCTGTAAATAAATACATATTTTGAAATGTTTGTTTAAAAAAACGACTTGGCAGCTTTTTAAGTAAACAGCTGCAAAAAACTTTGCTGTTTTCAAAACTCAGTAAGTTTTTTTGAAGAAGTAACTATATAATTAATTGCCCAACATTGGTCATTATATGCTGCATTTTGCAGACAGAGAGTTACAGACTCTCTCCCAGACCACAGACTCCTACTCATAATACAAGTCAGAGCTCTATTAAAAAAAATAAATTGTGTTTTCAAAATTAGAGTTGAAGTTATTTTTTTTTACTTCCAATGGTGTCAACATACTACACAGGTCATAAACAAGATGTATTTTAATTTTCTTTTTCTGTTTTTTTTTTATTTTAATTTTCATTGTAAGTGGGCTAAAGCAGTTAATTAAAAGTAGTCTAACATAAATGTAAATGCTGTAATTTGATTATTTTAATAAACCATGTAACTTGGATGGATTTGATGCTGGCGTGACCACAGTGCACACGTCTGCTGTTGCTCACAGTGGTCCAAGGGATCGCTCAGGGAGTTTGTGTGTTCGCTCAGACACATGAAAAATTAGAGGGAACATTGGTCACGACACAGTTGATGTCACAACAAGCTGCACAGACGTGTGCGGTCCAGGTCAGTGGGGACGTTCATGTTCCATGTCTTGTATTGGTGTACCCTAAAGGTTACAAAGACAGAGCTGTTAAGGCATATGTAATACTAGACGATCAGAGCATTTGTTCTTTAGCCAAGCCTGAGTTCTTCGAACTTTTTGACATTAAAAGTGAACCTTTCTCCTACAATCTTAGAACATGCTCTGGTGTTGTAGAAACATGTGGTAAAATAGCTGAAGGCTTCCATATCGAGTCACTGGATAGGTCAGTAGTTATCCCTCTACCATTGCTCATAGAGTGTCAGGACATTCCTAACAATAGGAATGAAATCCCAACTCCCAGCGCAGTGCTACACCAGCCACACCTCCAAACCATAGCAAAGTACATCCCAGAACTAGACCCTAAAGCCGAAATACTCCTGCTACTAGGGATGTGTTTTACATGGCAGATGTTTTACCGGCACAGAAGGTCAGGCAGAGAATTAATGGCCCCCATAATGCCCCCTTTGCCCAGTGCCTAGACCTAGGGTGGGTTGTAGTTGTTTGGGTCTGTCTGGGTAATGTTCATAGGCCTACAGTCAGCACCCTGAAGACAGTTGTTCTAGAAAATGGCCGCCCTTCAGTTTTTGAACCATGCAGCAGCCTTCTGCAACTCAAAGAAGTGTCACACACAAATAGGCCAGGTAAAGCGCCCAAACAAACTCTGGGTCAAACATTTTTTTAACCAGACAGATAACGACAATAAACCAGCTCACTTAATACAGGACACTTTCTAAAAATAATGGACCAAGCTATGTACAGAGATGTGGAAAACAGTTGGGTTTCCCCACTTCCGTTTAAGGAACCCCACCAGCAATTACCAAAAAACAGAAAACAGGTAGCCACAAGGTTCTCATCCTCAAAACGGACGCTAAATAGGAAACCTGAAACACAGCAGCATTATGTGGCCTTTATAGAAAAGATCCTCTCCAATGGTCATGCTGAGGTCCCACACCCACACACACACTGAAAAGAGGAGAAGAGTGCTGGTATCTTCCAACATTTGGAGTCTACCACCCACAAAAACCTTTACTTAACCATGTCCTCCTTACTGGCCCCGATTTAAGTAACACACTCGTCGGAGTTCTTCTCATCTTCCGGACAGAAAATGTTGCAATCATGGCAGATATACAGCAAATGTTTCACTGTTTAATGGTGCGTGATGACCACAGCAACTTCCTCCGTTTTCTGTGGCACAGGGACAACGATCTAAACAAAGAAGTTATCGAGTGAATGAAAGTCCACGTGTTTGGCAACTCAACATCTGCTGCTGTTGCCATTTATGGACTACGCAAGGCCTCAGAGTAGGTTCAAAGGACTATGGTGCAGATGTAGTAAAGTTCGTGGAGAGGCACTTTTATGTAGATGATGGCTTGATTTCTGTTTCCTCTCCTGCTGAGGCTATAGATTTTCTTCAAAGAGCACAAGCCCCACTCACTGGACCCAACCTGCACCTGCATAAGTTTGTTTCTAACTCTCAGGCTGTTTTGCAGGCCTTCTGCCCAAAAGATTGTGCTCCTGTCATTAAAAATTTAGATTTAAGTGGTGAAGAGACACAATCCCAGTGAAGCCTTGGACTAATTTTAATTTGGGAAATAACAAGAGACATTCACTTACTCAGTCGCCAACTGAAACAAGCCAATTACTCGCCATGGTGTATTGTCCTCTGTCAATAGCATCTTCGATCCTGTGGGCCTATTGGCACCTGTTACAATCCAAGGAAGGGCCCTACTCAGAGAGCTTACTTCAGAATGTTCAGATTGGGACGTACCCCTTCCAGAGGATAAACAAAGCAGATGGGAAATGTGGAGAAATTCCCTTCAGAACCTAAAAGAACTACATGTTCCCAGAACCTACACATCCACCTCACTAAGTTGAGCAAAGCGCAAGGAACTGTGTTTTTTCTCAGATGCCTCTACTAAGGCCATAGGAGCCATAGCCTTCTTAAAGGCAAATCAAACAGATGGGAACGTCGAGGTAGGCTTCGTAATAGGCAAAGCAAAACTAGCCCCCCTGTCAGAACCTACAATACCAAGGCTTGAACTATGTGCAGCCAGCTTGTCAGCAGAAATGGCCGACCTCATTCAAAATGAGTTGGACTTAAACTTTGATGCAGTGCACTTCTATACAGACAGTAAGGTAGTGCTTGGCTACATCTGTAGTCAAAAAGGTTTTACGCATATGTTCACAACAGAGTACGGCGCATTCGCCAGTCATCAAGCCAGAATAGTGGCATTATGTGCACACAGAGGAAAATCCACCAGACCATGCATCTAGGTCATTGTCAGCATTCCAACTAAAAAAGTCCACCTGGTTCCCCGGACCACCCTTCATCCACCATCCTGCCGCAGATACAACAAAAGTGAGTGGAATGTTTGACCTGATTGAACCAGATAAGGACTCAGAAATTAGACCACAAGTAAAAACTTAAGTCACTCACCTCCAAGTACTCATCTGGACACTCATGGCTGAAGTTACAGCCATAATAAATGCAAGGTCGCTCGTCCCAGTGTCCACTGATACAGAGAAACCTTTCGTCCTATCCCCTATCCACGCTGGAGGTGAGAGTATCTACCCACATTGCAGCTAAGGCAGAAATGGACTGGGTCACGCAGAAACCTCCAAGTTGGTGACCTGTTTCTGCTCAAGGACAAGCAGGTTGCATGAAACAGCTGGCCCATGGCCAGGATCACTGCCAAATTCCCAAGCAATGACAATCGAGTAAGGAAGATTGAGGTAAAGACATGCGATCAAGGGTATGTAAAGACATTTATGAGACCGGTTACAGAATTTATCCTCCTCCTGCCAAAGGACTGATTGCATAATGTTTGTTTAACATAGTGGCCTCCTGAGGCCAGGCATGGAGTATGTTGCCCTAAGGCATTTTTCTGAATAAATAAGTTAATACGTTTAAAATAAATAATTCTAAACATATTTGTCATTAAAAAAATTAATACATGTTAAAATGTATAATTCATGCTTTAGATACGTTTTTGTTAAAAGGAAAAGAGCTAAAATGTATTTCCGGTTCTGGTCAGGCACTTCCGGTTCAGGACAAGTACTTCCGGCAGCTCGGTTTTTGCTGGGTAACTAGCTCCACATGCTAAAGGCAGTATAGAAATGTAATCAGATGCCATCTACTCTGAATTATTCAGGCTGGAAGTTTCTTTATACGATAGTTTACACAGATAGGTTTGGATATTGATGTATAGTTTGCTGAAATGAATGTTTTAGTGAGCGTTATGCACTTTATTGATGTAAACATGCTTCTACCTGTTGAGATGGAGTTTATTATCTGTCATTTCAGTTTTCCCCAGATGTTCATGGAGACAATTAAACAAGCTGCAACTAATCTCCAGGGTCTTGATTTGTGGTTTAACTCAGTGTCACCAACATCCTTGTTGAAAACACTACAGGCCTTCACCCTGATCCTGGACTGTCAGGCTACAGATGACACACCAAGAGTTTTCACTCACTCAGCAGTTCATTTAGTTTATCACATGAGGACAGTTCGAAACACAAACTCATTGGTGAGGAACTTAGTAAATATCTTTCTGTTGAATTAAATGAAACATTTTTCTATGGGAAACATATTTGCTACAGCACTAACAATCAGCACTTTGTCTACAAACACTTCTCAGCACTAGCAGACTGTGTCTCACCTAATGAGTCCAGGCCATGCTGATGAAGGCTTCACCTTCATATTTGGACCTGGCATATCTGCGTCTGCGAGCACCTGCAGGACAAGTCTAAAGACAACGAGAGACAAAGTCCAGACTTTAGAAGATCAACACTGATCCTTTCATTCAGGACTGAATCTGCTGAGAACATTTGAGCTTTTGTGTCAGAATAGAAACAAGAATAAGTGAAAATAACCTGTTTAATGATCGTAACAGAAGAGAGATACATTTGATTGTGTGTGATGTGTTTGGTAACAAAGCTGTACCGGGACACAGTTGTTCTGTTTGGGACACACGTGGAGTTTGCAGTGCAGGAAAACTTCACCAGAGCCCCCGGTGAACTCAAACATGTTGAAGGAGAAGTAGTTGGAGGTTCCCAGTCCATTTTCCTCCACCTGCACCGTCTGGTCAGCAGGGTTGGCACAGCTGCTCACAGACAGGAAAACACACTTTGTTCAGGAGTGCATGAGAGAGATCAAAACCACATGACTCTCTGAGTCTGTCTCACCCGTTTATGATCAGGTCGTATCTCGGAGTGCTGTCGGGTGATGGCTGGTCAGTGGCCCAGCAGGAGTCGGTTACCATGACGACCAGGTCTCCATCCAGTCCGTCAGACTTCAGCTCCACCCAGATCTTCTGGTTCAGCTGCACTTCAGTGCTGGACTCCACAGCTTGTGTGCGGCCAGCGTCAGTGAAAGCCTTCATGGTCAGAGTGTAATCCCAAACTCCAGATGTGATGTGCTGGATCACAGAGCTGCAGAACACAAACACACTTCAGGTTTCTCTGACTCACAAACCTCATGAGAAGCTTCACATCTTAAAGTAACTCAACCACACACCTGTCTCTGATCCTGAAGGTGGCAGTCTTGATGTCCGGCTGAGTTTGGACGCAGGAGAAGTCGATGTAGACTTGGTCGTGACGAGTGATGATGTCAGAGGAGCTGTTCTGGTTCATGATGGTGTTTTTGTAGATGAGTTCACTGTTGTTGGTCTGCAGAGTCACACAATCAGAAGTTGCTACTGACTGTTAACATTTGTCTATTCAGTTCAGTTCATTAATCCCAAAATGCACTGAATCAGTTTTATTCAATTGGAAAAAGTGAATGTAAATCATGCTCTGTTTGCTTTATTTGCACAGACACATGAAGCCACGTTAACTTTATTTTCAGTCTCTTTACAGTGATTTTAATCTGAGAACATCAACACTTTGAAGATGATGGACCTCTAAACATTAGAGAGTTTCTTCCTGTACTGAATCAAACTCCTACTCTGATGTTTCTGTGTATGAACTACACAGATCGTCAACGTGATGAGAAGCCTCAGAGCTCAGAGGTGAAGCTGATCTCACAGAAAGATCCCAAACTGCAGCAGAGCAGGAGAAGCTCAGCAGATGCTGGAAGATGTTTGGCTGCTTGTAGAAGGTAAAGAGGAGGAGATGAAACCCACCGTGACCACCGTCCCACAGCTATTGCTGCTGTTGAAGCTGAAGGTCACCATGTGGGTGAGCTCGTCCACCTGACCCCTGCAGGTCGGGTCGTTGAGGTGTAAGGCAGAGTAGTCGATGCCTTTGTCCTCCAGGAGACAACCGACCAGAGTGACTGAAGCAGAGTCCTGCATGCAGACCGTTGGATCACCTGAACATCACAATATCAGTCAGAAAAATCACAGTTAGAAGTTTTCCTCCATTATTCAGCCCTGTTGTCATGGTGATGTCACAGCTGTCGTACCAAAAGAGTTGTTTGCTTGGTACTTGGAGGCAAAAATGTCCCGACAGAAGCAGCGAGTGTCACCACCGACCGTCTTCTCACCACAGAACTCGTGATCGCTGCAGGTCCTGTCCTGACAGAAGGCCTCAGAGGCTACAGAGGAACACACTGATGTATTATCCTGAAAACATGGGAGCTCTAAAAATCCACAGTTCAGGTCTTTAACAAAGGAGAGCTTATTAAGGTCTTACAGCAGCCGGTATTTGATGTCCAGCCATCCAGAGCGAGGTTGTGTTGACTGCAGGCTCTGGCGTAGGCCTTCAGGAACTGACAGTTGAGTCCGTCCACTGCAGGATATTTACACAAAGTGTCGGTGCAGGCGGTTATGTAGGGCTCTGGGTCAATGTCACTGTTACAGGAGGAGAAGGGCGCCTCCCTCAGGAGATTACAGCTGTACCACAGATAAAAAAACAAAAAAACAAAAAAACATTAATGAGAATAAAATAATAATCTGTGATCAGGTGTTTTTATCTTCCATCTGTGCTGAAGTCACATTGTTAGGTTAATTTTGATAATAGTTGTCATTGTTCTACTTAAATTTGTAAGCCTTGGTTCAAACTGTATGATCAACAACATTCTTCTGTTTCCATCCTCCTCCCGGCCTACATCTAGGTGGGGGGGGGGGGGGGGGGGGGGGTAATTGGTTATAGTGTTTAACTGCAGAAACCCTATGTGAAGGTTCTCTGTCCTTATTTAGGGAGGATGTTTACTTCTTGCCATTTATGACCTCACCTGTGCTTGTGTACCATTAGAGGGGTTAAGCCATACACAGGGTGAGGGGAGATGATCATTTGTGATCAGGAAGTTACATACACATGCTCAGTGCCTTAGTTTAATGACATTTTATGGCGCACCACAGGGAGGTTTAACAGTGGCTGTTTGGGAAACTGTGTGTGAGAGAATAAAAGGCTGCAGGGGAGGCTGGTTCTTTTGGAGTCGTCTAAGGTCGAGGGCAAAAGTGCTGCTCTGAGGATCCGACCAGACTCCCCTTACTAGCAAGTAAAAAACGGTTAAGCTGTTTGTCTTGCTTTGTTAACGGGTGATAAGTCTTTGAACCAGCGGGGTCTGCGAGGTGCAGACACAACACACATAATTTAAGTATAATACAGAAAGATGGTGGATGGCACTCAACCTTTTTAATTTTAATGAAAAAAGAAGAAAGACAGAGGTCATGATTTTAGATCTTTCCTCTTTGGTCCTGCATAAAAAGTCCAGCATCACCAATTTAGTTGTGAAAATAGACCCGAGCCTTAAACATGACTCATATGTCAACCCTGTGGTTAAGTCCCCCTCCTAGAAACCACCTAGACACTTTGATCCATGTGTTCGTGACCTGTCGTCTGGATTATTGTAATTCTCTTTTGACTGGAATTAGCCAGGCCCCCCTCTCATTCTACAATTGTTACAAAATAGCGCTGCATGATTTTTAACTGGTACAAATGAAAACAGAAAGAAAAAGAGTCTAGACTTTTTTAAGTTGCTTGAGGACGTTTGACCTCACATTCAAGAAGGTTCTTCAGTTCTAGGGTCAAGCGGTGGAGAGTCCCAGATTTAAGACCTGTGGGAGTATCCCCCAAGAGGGACAATCGACCCCCTAATGATCCTCTACCTAATCACATGAGCCAAGGTGTGAAAACGGGTGTGGGTCACAATCAGCCAGAGTTTTGGGTGAGCTGTCCCCACGCCAAGGTGTGAAGACCAGTGCTGGGCAAGTTACTTTGAAAAAGTAATTAATTATAGTCAGTATTGGTCAAGTTACGTGAAAAAATTAATCAGTAACTAATTACTGATTACTTCCCCCCAAAAATAATCCTGTTACTTTACTGATTACTTATTTTCAAAAGTAATTAATTACTTAGTTACTTGGTTATTTAAAAAAAAAACTATTTACAAGCCCAATTCTACTTTTTCTGCATAATCCATCATACAAAATGTAATCAAATGGAAACATCTCTTTTTAAAACTTGTTTTATTAGTTTTAATCTTTTAATTTTATGTATCAAGCACAAAAATTAATTATATGCAACATTCTCTGACTGGAAGAAATTAGTTTAACATTTAAACCTATTTTCTACACATTCCAGCACATAAAATAAAATATTTTTGGTGTGTTTACACTCACTCTTTCAAATAGATGCAAGTAAAACACAGAAGAAAATAAATAAAGTCAAAGACTCAGCGGTCCTGTTGCTCTATTTTCACCTGTAAAGCAGGACTGCGGTAGGCAGATTTTACCCTGGTGCAGGTGTGCCGCAGCGCTCAGTGGAAGAATCCGCGAGTTTGAATCCGTGAATTTCCCATTACGTCGTTGCGCACTCGGCGCTTGCTTGGAAGTTTAGGGGTTTTTTTCGCTGTAAAAAGAAGTTTTCTTCCCACGCACAACGGACGCTAATGTTTTTGTCACTTTTATGGAATCAAACTCAAAGTAAGGTCAGTACTTCCACGCTTTAAACGCTGCACGCTCATACTCTCTCCCGCACTCGATATATTATCCATTGTTGATCTGCACACAGCTGTTGTTGCACTCGCTTACGTCACTGTCATGAGACATTCTCGCAAAAAAAATCACGGTTTTAGTAACGCAGTAACGCAGCGTTCCTACGGGAAAGTAACAGTAATCAAATTACCGTTTTTGCATTACCGTTACAAGTAACTCGGTACTGCCCATTTCTGATTATAGTTACTAGTTACATCTTCAAAAAAGTAACAGAGTTAGTAACTGAGTTACAAGATCTAAAAGTAATGAATTACTTGAAAAGCAACTATTGCGTTACTTTAAAAAGGTTATAACTGGACATTTTAACTACTTTTGATTTTACCTCTACATTTCACCTTTAAAAACTATTTACTTTGTCTTGTTTAGTATCATCCTTTTCAGCACAACCTCAAGTGTCTGAATTTACAGTTGTTTTCTATTTGTATTAACACAATTGATCTAAAATCATACAAAAATCATAAAATCTGAGTAGAAAAATCTATATTATTTACTGTAACAACCGCAAACAATTCTGTTGAATCATATTTCATAACTTTAAATGCAAATATAAATTGGCAATTTTAAAATCATATGCACAGTTACTTGCAGCCATTTACCCAGATTAATTATGTAGACCGCTACTTCCGTGCAGCTGATAGAAGGTGTGGTAAGCTGAACACAGCTTCAACCGATGTTTGTTGAAAAATAGTAACATGACTGCACTGCATTTTCTTGTTAGTAACAGTAACGGCGTTGTAACAATAGAAATAGTAATTAGTTAGATTACTCGTTACTGAAAAAAGTAACGCCATTAGTAATGCCGTCATTTCCATCACTGGTGAAGACGAGTGTAGGAAAAGAAAAAAGCCAAGGTTTTGGGTGAGTTCGCTGTGAAACCTGGCCCCACCCTATCATGTAATTTCTTAGGGTCAAAAGGCCCAGGATGTGAGTGGGCGGTAAGGCGTCTGGGAAGGGATGTCAGAACTGGATTATAGATGGCAGACAGTTGGTGTCGTAAACCACCTCCTCTGTTCAAAGATGGTCGCTCACAGTGGACATAAATGGCTTCTTTCACTCGTCTTTCAAACCATCTGTCCTCTCTGTCCAAAATGTGAACATGTTCAGATCTGAGCATTCCTCATTGCACTGTACAGCACACACTACATTATTAAGTTTGTGTTTTGGAGTTCTTGCATTTGGGAAGAACCAGTTTTTGTCTGAGTGTGTTGCTGGGCCTGAAGTACATTGTAGTACATCTCTCTCCTTTCACTCTCTACACGCTGCCTGGGCCAATTTTGAGTACTCTTCTCATTGTTAATTCCTCATCTCTGTGTGCAGATCCTTCGTGTCCTGTTTGGAAGTTTGGACACCGAAGCCTATGGTCCTTTTCTCACACACGCCACCCTCACTGGCGTGTGTGAGAAAAGGACCATTCCAATAGAATTGTGCTGTTCGTGTGGAGCTGTGCGAGAGAGGACGTTTCCTGATTCTTCCCTGTACCCCTGGGAACCTTGGACCCTTTCCCCTCACCTGTATATAGTGCACCGGGAGTGTGTAAATAAAATTTAAGTTTTCTGTAATTTTTCAGTCTGCGCCTGAGTCCTCCCTGTTCCATCGTGACAAAGTTCAAGTAATGTATTCTTATTTCTTAATTTAAAATAACGCAAAATCAGACTTTAGTTTGCAGTACCGTATTTTTCGGACCACAAGGCACACCGGATTGCAAGGCGCATTAAGTGAAACAAAGCAGTCAGATAAGTCAAACTTTACTCAACTCATTCTTCTTGCTTCCTCCACTTCCGTACCATTCATTCATTAATAGTGAAGTCTCTCGCAGCTGCTCTATTCCCATGTTGTTGAAGTATATTATTTTCACAGCACGTAGATTGTCTCTGGACATTTTCTCTCGTCTTGCAAGAGTTTGCTGCAGCGTGGGTTGTGTTGGTTTAGAAGTGTGGGTAAACTCCTTGTACTCATTGTCATGTTGGGATTTTAGGTGCTTGATTAAATTGCTTGTGTTAAATGCGCTACCTTTCGAGCTTCCTCTGGACAATTTCGCTGAGCACAATTTGCAGTCCGCCTTTATTTTGTCGTCTTCATTCACTTTGAAATAGTTCCACACGGCTGACATGTCTTGCCTCCCCTTCTCCCCCGCTCTGAGCTGCAGCCGGGGCCTGGGGGCGGGCACTCGGCGCGGGCACTCGGCGCCTGTGATTAACCCCTTACACGCCGCTCAAACAGACTTTTCTCAGACCGTGGTATCGGTCCCCGGTATCGGGGGACTTTTAACGAGTACTATATAGATAGATAGATAGATAGATAGATGGGGAGATAGATAGATAGATGGGGAGATAGATATCTATCTATACACACACACACACACACACACACCTGTGTGTCATTTCCTCTTTAGGTCAGTTACGATTGTTTGGGCAGTTGTTTGGTTTGTTAAGATTGCAGTTCTCTGCCCGAGTTCAGTTTTGTTTCTTTGACCTCTTTTATGAGTTCAACATTTATTACTTTTGTAATTAAAATTGTGGGGGTTAAATGAAAACCCTACCTTTCTAATAAACCTTTGACTCCTGCTTTTTTAACTCGGTCCATCACAATGTTGTTTTATTTTTTATAGTATGTAATTATGTCTCATCTTATCCTATTGTTTTTTTCTTAATTTTTACTGCTCTTAACTTGTGCTTTCTGCCGTGACCAAAAATATTTCCCACGTGTGGGACTAATAAACGTTTATTTTATCTTAACTTACAGCGATTTGATGTTTTGTTCTGGTTCTCTTATGTTTTTATACATGACTTTGTTCAGCTGTTATGATGTTTTAAAGTGAATTAGAAATAAAGTGGTAAGATGTTTCCTGCTGTGTGGATCAGTCTGCTCACCGTTCAGTCACACTGGTGCAGTCGATCGTGCTGTCAGCAGTCTCACTGTACTGCATCTCACAGCTAGGGGGCGACAAACAACAAAGTTCAGGCTCATTCATACAAACAGAATATCTGCAACATCAGCAGCAGCAGTCAGAGGGACTCTGAGCTTGTGATGAGGTCTTACCTGGTGGAGCTGTACTCAGAGAGCCTCAGGTCACTCAGAGAGCTGATGGAGTTTCCACACAGACCCTCCACAGATGAACCAGCAGGTCCTGCAGAGGATCAGGACAGAATGAGTCAGATCAGCATCAATATTCAAACTGGATGAACACAGAAGAATAAATAACAGCACAGTTTACAGTTTATGTTACATGAATTAAACTTTATCTTCTGTACTTTCTAAGAGGATCTGTGCGGTGTCGCCGTCAAAGAAGACAGAGATGTTGAGGTTGGAGAGATCAGCAGTGACTCCAGTTTGGTCCTTAGAGAGCTGCACACCATGAACCAGCTGAGGTGAGCTGCTGAGGGTCAGTGTGGAGTCGTCCAGCTGCATCACAGCAGAGACAAAGTGGTGGAAACACTGAGTGAAACATGTCAAACAGACAAACAGGCTGATTTCACAGCAACAACCACTGAGTTCAGCAGCTCTGAAAGAACTGCTTCTAACAGCCCTGAGAAGAACGATGCGAGGAGACACAGCAGAGGATGAGGGAGGACTTTGGATCAGACTCCACTCTGACACATGAACTGTGGCTGTAGGTCGCTTACCTGAACTCTCCCACCTTGTTCCAGGTGAATGTCATGCCCGTCCACACGCAGCGTCACACTGTCCAAAAAGCTCACATCTTTACGACGTCTGTCCCTGAAGTTCCCCAAAACATGGAAGTCTGGGAGTGACGGAGTCGAGAACAGAGAGTACGCACACCGATCCTGGATGGAGTTAATCTGGCCATGGACGTCGATGACAGTGGGGCCGGTAAAAGTGCAGGTGGAGGCCGACACGCAGCTGATAAAGGCAGAAAATTCAACATTATTCAGTTTTGTTTTGTTTTTATAGCCTTAAATCACAACAACAGTTTACCAGCTGTCAGCTACTTAGAAAAGGATCCTGGTGTTATTTGTCTCTCAGAAACAGTTCATAACTTCTCTCCAACTCATTCATGTCACCTAAAAGGTAAACCTGTTTCTCCATCACCTGTTCAGCTCTGATGATTCAGTAAGGACATCTCCTGGTTTCATCTTCATGTTTCCCTCTCACCACATATACAAATCATATCATGACCAGCAGCTTTACAGCTGTGGCTCCAGCAAACATCAGCTGATACTAGAAATTAATATTAAATAAATTCTAACAACAGCTGGTCAAGCTTAAACGTGCTGCTGTTGTTTAACGCAACATCCGCTGGTTTCCTCTTTCTGGCGCAAAGTGAGCGATAAACAAACAAGAGAGAAAATCCGATCAGCTGATCATTGATCAGTTTTCATGATTGAAGTAGAAACGGGAGGGGGAGGATGAGAGAAGAAGAGGCAGCTGTGCAGCGTAAAGACAGAATAACTCCAGCTTTGTGTCTTTTTCATTGCAGCTGAAGTCCGGGACAAACTGTTCCTTTTCACCTCAATAAGAAACGCGTAATATTTTCTCTGAATACCAGGCGATTCCGTTTTTTACGGAACGGTTGGCAACTCTAATAATTAACCTTATGAACAAAATAAAGTTCAACATCAGTATCATAGCACCCACCCAGCTGTATAGAAACTCCGTCATGCTAGCTAGCACGCAGTTCGGAAAAAGTCAGAATAAGGAAAATAAACTCCACCTAAACTTGGTTCATATCTGACTCAGATAGACTGCAGGTCATAACTTCTTACCTGAAGTTCAGTTCACCTGACACTCTCGGACCAGCGGCCGCTTCGGCTCTCTCCTCTTGCCTCCCTTTTCCTTCATCCACCTGCTGCCTCCACCACTTGCTAATGTTACTGAATCTGTGGAAGCTCCGTGATGCCACCACACAAAGTAACGAGTAACGAGCCTATCTAAATCCCAGTAACGACTAACGCGTTCCTGATTTTGGCATAATAACTAGTTACCGTGCTCGTTACCACAATAATAACGTAGTTACTGTAACGCGTTACTTAATAACGCGTTAGTCCCAACACTGGTGGCTACACAAGCCAGGAAGTACTAATAACTGGATTTGGTGTGTGGTAGTAACAGGTAAATGAACTTTTTTTTTAAATTATTTGACTATATATGAATGCTTGTGTATAAATACACAAACAATACACACATGCTTTCAATTGTGTAATTTAAGTGATCTAGTAGCTCTGCTTTGGAAGTTCAGTTCATGCTAGAAATGTGTTTTGGAGTTTGTACGTGTTTTGTCTGTAGGGCCACCGCATATATTTATATATAAACATATATAAATAAAACTACTTTTTTTTTACGTTAGTAATTCCTTTTGTGTATAATTTTATATTATTGTTAATAATAAATTAATTAAAGCAACAAAACAACCCGAAGAGCCGGTTCGGAGCCGAAACAGCCGGCTCTTTTTAGTGAGCCGAACCGAAAGAGCCGGTTCTCTAAAAACAGACGGAAATCCCATCACTAATGGAGACGCTGTTGGGGCTGAAAAAGCTCACAGATTCTGAGCTGCAGGTTTTTTTTACTCTCCAACCAAAATTCACTGAGCCAGCAGCAAAAGAAGATCCAAACTGCTGTTCCCGTTTGATAACATCCTCATTAATTCACTCTTACCTTTGCTGTTTTGCTTCCACCAAGATAAAATCACACTTCCAGCACAGCTCTCTCTCTCTCCCCCATTCATTTGCTTATTTCACACTATTGTGTACAAGCGCTGACAACAGCTGTTTCTTTTTCAAAAATGACAAGAAAGGCTTATTTCTGCTGTTTAATACTGAAGAAAGTTTTAAAATGATGCCACATTGCAAAATGCTTAGCAAGTTTTTAATAAAACCTCTGTAACATTCACTTCAGCAGCATCAGGTAATTTTATATGTTGAGTCATGTTTTTCTTCAGTTTTCAATCTACTGCAGAATGTTTTTAAGGTTATCTGCTATAAAAATCCAGGCCAGGAAAATCTCCTTCATGTTTTTCTGTGTTTCATCCTCAGTTACTTTGACACAAAGGCATCTGCTGTGATGTTCACACCTCTGATGAAGCCTCACAAGTGTCAGCACTGATAAACGATCAGAATTATAATATTTCTGACTGTCTGAGGCAAAATTGAATTGAATCAAATAGGGTATCAAAGCAAATCTGAACATTGTGAATTGGAATCAGATCGATTATTGAAACCAGTGACGTCTCATTCTCAAACATGTAGAGAATGAGAAGTGTTGTTTTTGTGGTTTATATTTAGCCCGAGTGAGCAGCTTAGGCCTGACAGAAGTGGATGCAGCTGTGGGCATTAAGAAAGATGAAAAGGACGATTAATAACTTTTTGGTTGAGTTAAGGCCTGATCCATCTGAAATGTATAACCAGTGCTCTGACTCGCAGCCATCAACCTCTCAGGTTATGTCTAACACTGGTCCTGATAATGAGCCACAGCCAGAGCCAGAGCCCACTGAACGTGAAAGGGGGACATTTATACATTTGAAAGAGAGTGGCTTGACCAGTTTCCCTGGCTAAGATACAATAAAGTTAACAACATGATGCACTGCCTGTACGGTTGTGAGTGTGGAAAGCCCATGGCCGACAATACTGCATTTGTGAACTGTGCTAATATGTTTCGAATTGAAACGCTGAAAAAGCACCAGTGTATCCAGAAAACACATTATATGCTGTGATAAATGCACCGCCCAAGTGTCCCCTCTCCTCACTGTCCTTCAGCAAACAGGTCGTCAGAGGAGCCGAGATGATGATTCAGTTTAACATTGCCTACAATATTGCTAAAGAGTGCCAAAGTGCCAACGCACTTTAAGCACAAGCACTTTTTCAGTAACTTATCTTTCGTGTAGAACTTTGCTCTAAATAAAGAACTTTGTCTTGACGAGATTGTTAGTTAATCATTCACGAATCAATATTGTCTGTATGGACAGCAATTAAAAAAAGTGAACATTTAAAACAGTGGTGTTAAGCACTTCCTGCTTTCTTTTAAATACAAAGAAGACATATTTACATGTTGTTGCCTTGACAACGCTCCAGTGGACCACAGCTGGAGGTGTTGAGGACTGCGGTTTCATTACAGGTGAGGCTGAAACAGGTTTGTGGATCAGAGCTGATCACTGTACCAGGTCGATACATCTGACCTGAGGATTGAAGGAATTCAAACACTCACAGATCACTGACTCGTTTAACAACTGTGAGCACAAACATCACCGTAACATTCAAATAGTTACATTTTACAGAATCCCAAAGTTGAGTTTGGAGCTTTAGATTCACTTACCTGAGTGTCTGCATCCACTGATGCTGAAGTAATAAGTTGTATATGCAGTAAGAGTCACTGTATCAACTGTGGTTCCACCGACCTGAAGCTCAAACACCTGGACAGAAACAAACACAATCAATGTTACGACTACAAAGCAGAGACAACGATGTTTGTGTTAGAAAGTATTTAATGTAGTATTTAAACATTAACAGACGTGTAAAGTTGTTTATAAACACTCAGAGACTCACCGTTGGATCAGAGATGTAATTATACGCGTACAGATGTGGTTGTGTTCCATACTTAACATGCTCCAAATACATCTGTAACGAGCAAACAGAAAAGTTTCAGACACTGTCAGGAAGTTTCCTCTAAAAGCTTTTACAAAAGTTTTTGATGTGATAAAACCTCAAATTTTATTTTTGGTTTGCAGTGTTTATACAATTAATTTGTGGTGAAACAGTGAAAAGTGACAGATTTAACTGTGTGATACAGAAAAACACTCACATTATTGAAAAGTATATAGAAGTAGCAATAATCATAATAATTTGAATATGTCCCAAAGTAAAAACTCTCTGCGCCCCGTGAATGCTCCACAACACAGTCGCCTCCAGTTTCAGGACTGAAAAAGCCGTTGAAACAGACGGTAACATTTCCAGATGTTATGTTTACCTGCGGAAAATCAGAGACACAACGAGTCAAACATCAACATCTTTTGTGCTTTGAGTCATTTACAGCTGAACTGTTGGTGTCAGAGCTGCTCAGGTTTCAGTCAGAGCTCTCGCTCTGCTTCAGGAAGCTGCATCAGGTGATGTTCACATACTCAGCATCACTGCAGAGGACATTAATGAGACTGAGTTCAAAGCCAGCTGCCCTCTGAGGGCCTGAACCCATGAACAGAGAGTGTGTGACCTTCATTCACTGCTGATGTTCACTCAGTCTGCAAACATGATCTCTGCCACAGGTGGAGACTAAACAGCCACAGTGATGGAAACACAAAGATCTGCTAAAACATCAGGCTTCATCCTACTCACATAGAGCTGCTCGTACTGCTGTCCATAATACGTGATGGGACATGAGCTGATGTCCACCACTGAAGACTGATAGAACCACTGAGCACCTGAAGACACAGAGACACATGAGAGCTGTGAGCTACAGTCTGTTAGCTGGTCGGACAAACAGGAAAAGCTGCAGGCTGAAAAACTGACTTCATGAATGGATTAAACAGCGTTTGTTCACCAATCAGTGTAAAGCTTTACTATGACATCATCAGTTAGCTGTCCTTGGAAACAAACATAACAGGAAACGACAGCTTGATAGACTTCTGGATACTGAAGGTAATAAAACTGCAAAGATGAGAAGTTCAATTGAAAAGAGCTTTTTGTTTTGCTTTATTGTTAAAGAATAATAAAAAAAAGATAAAACTTTGCTGACGATGTCAGATTATTTGTACTTAAAGCTTTCTTCATCGTCACTCTCATGTTTTTGTACTCGAGTATTTTGAGGACACTTGCAAAATGGCTGCCAGGTGTGTATGTTTACCTGTCAGTGCAATGAGAGCACACAGGCAGAGCAGAGGGCGGAGCATGTTGGAGAGGGCCAATCAGCTGACAGAAACCTGAAACACAAACATTTTGAGAAAACTGCATGAAATTCTAACATTTATAGTCAGTTTATTTAACTTTAAGCTTTTCTGTAAAGTTTAACTTCACAAATATAAAGTTTTGACTTCACCATCCAGAGAATACAACATGATCATGTGTTGTAAACCTGTTTGTAACAAGTTCACTTCACTTGTAGTTTATGGATTTATCAAACCCAACATTATTTCTGTTTTGACTTACAGAGTTCAGTATTTGCCCCGAGCATAAACATAAACATGAGCTTTGTTTCTGTGGAAAACCAACCTGTGCTGTTTGTGATTCTGCTGAAAACAAGACAAAAATCAGTTATTGCAGTTTGAAGTGTTTAATGTATCAAATTATACACAAACACAAACTCTGTCACAGCAATCATGCAAAGACAAACTTATAGATGGCATAATACATTATCAGCTCTATATAACATCACACATTAACAAAATACAAAAAACTTTATTCTGTAAAAACACAAAAACCCTGTCATGTGACGCTGTGTTCGGACTCTTTGTCAGCTTTGACGTGTTCACAGGTTTCTGTCATCGGGACCTGAGCAGCAGCTTTCTTTAGATAAGGTTAAATAAAAGTGGGCGTGTCTTCAGCCCGAGGTGTTCGGGGCTCCAGAGTAAAAATAAATGTTTATTAAAGTAAAGATGTGTTCAGGCGTCACAGTTTATCTGGGCAGAAGTCACACTCACGTCTCTGACCAGACTACCCAAGCATCACCAACCAATCACAGCACTGCATTCCTCCGACAGCACCTGTAAGCTGACAGTGTTGATTGGTCCAGGTCTGACAAACTGGTGTTTGCTAACCAGCTGAAGCTCATCAACCATGGACATGAGAAGCTTTATTAGAAAGAAAAGTGAGGGAGGGGCAGGAGGGCGAGTCACCAGCTTGTTGGAAATTCACCAAATTATTCCAACAATGCAAAGCTGGCTTTACTTTATGTGTCAGTCAAAGCTTATTTATACAGCACGTTTAAAACAACCTGTTGACCAAAGTGCTGTAGAAGTTATAGAAATATACACTGTATACAAACAGTCAGTAAATAAACAATAAATAATAAATCAGATAAAACAAGTAAATAAAAGTGTGAGTGCATAAAAAGCCAGGATATTGAGCTCAGCTCGAGCTGAAAGTAAGCGAGGTTCCTGACAGGAAACACTAACAGACCAACGGCACTGTCGTATCCATGCAACAGGTTGGGATGTTCAAATAAAATGTTTCTGTTTTACTTTAGTTCAGTTTGAGGAAGTTTGTCTCCAACAATGATAAATTAGACAAACATTCAAATCTATTCTCTGTGGAGCTTTGTGCTCCAAGCACATCAGGAAAGGATCTCCTGACGTCCAGTAAGAACAGGAGGAATGATGACCACCAGCCCCAAAACACTGAACTCAGCTTTTAACATCTGGATAAAACACTAAAAGTCGGCTTTCACACCTTCATCTGTCTGTGATGTGTTTGTGTCTGTTAACAGTCCTAACACTGATGTGTTGTTCAGCTCTGAAATGTGTCCACTGAGCCGTCCTGATGTGTGTTACAAGAGGCAGAGCAAGAGTCCAGGTGTGCAGCTCGTCTTACCTGCAGCTCTGATGGAGGATGAGGAGGATGAAGGCTGCTGCTCAGGAGGCTCTCTGGTGATTCTGCAGGTGGTGTCTCTGTGAAAAAGATGCTGCTCTCTCCGTCCGTCTCTCTTTATGTGGATCCTGGAGAGCGGGGATGGAGGTGGAGTCCACGGTGGAGACACCTGATGGGAACCTCCCACTGACGGATGCTTATTCAGCCTCTTCTTACACAAACAGGACAACAGCAACAGGAAACACTGAAATAAGTTTGTCACTGCAGGATTAAAGACATTCAACAATAATGCTCTTCATGTCTTCTTAAAGCTCTTTGTCCTGCTAACAGCTGTGATACAACTGCGTCTACATTTTGTCTCACACTCTTCATGACTGTGGTGTAATGTAAAAAGACATTTGGCCTCACCTATGGGCTCAAACTGTGGTCATAAATATTTTGTACTTGTAAATCAGGATTTCTATGTGTAAAAAAGATTTGGATCATATCATGGTTTTATATCAGAGACTCCATAATGGTTAATGTGATGTTGACCCATGAACCTTTCACATAGACGGAGTCAGAGTTTCTGTTTCACTCATGTTGAACTTGTGCTGGTGTGGAGGCAGCTGTGACTATGGGCCCTTTAAAGAAACGGCTCACATTTCAACAGTAACACAACATTACTAACAGAAGCTGGAGTCACATTAGAAATCTTTTTGAGAAGACATAAAAACAATGCGTCTTCTTCACGGTGCCATGTTCCATTATGTAAAGGTTCTTTGTCAGTTTGACGTATGTCAGATGTAAGAGCTTTACTGAACTCGTGAAGCTTTCAAAGGATCAGAGTTATGAAATGTGCTGTTTTCATAATACAGAAAAAAGAAGTGTCAAATGTAACAGAGCAGGAAGATCTGTGCTTTTCTCTGAGCTGATGAGGAACAGCAGGTTGGTAAATGTGTAAATACCTCTTTAGTTCCAGGTAGAAAGTCACTGAGACCTGCAGCAACCGAGAACCAGAACTTTCTTTCCTCAGTGCACTATTACTTCTGTATTGTACTCCAGACACAATTATTGATAAAGCTAAAATCAATAAAAATCAATAAAAATGAAAAATGAAAACACTGCATGATAACTGATCAATACTCTGTCCAGATAAATAGATTTTTATATGGATAATGGTGAAGGGACTGGTTCCTATATAGCACTTTTCTAATGTATCTGAGCACTCAAAGCACTTTACACAACTTTCTTTCTATGCTTGTTCTCAGTGCTACCTATCTAACACTGACACACATTCATATGTGAGCACCATGAAATTATTATCTTGACCAAGGTCATTTGGCATGAAGACCTGAGCAGACTAGGATCGACCAGCCCACCTTTCAGTTAGTAAGTGACCTGCACAACCTCCTGAGGTACAGCCTATATAGTGTGCAAGATTGATGAGATATGTGTAAGCATGTTGGACAGGGTCAGTCAGCTGACATTTCAATACCTCTGACTGGACAGAAAGCTGCATGATATGTGAAATTTGTAAAACATATGCAGTGTTGTACATTGTTATACAATATAAAACAAATGTCGTCATGCTTCTTCATTCATCTGTGAAAATGGAGTCATCACACTGACATTTAAAAGATTTTGCTCTCCAAACTGCAACAAAACACAATTTTCTATAAATATAGCTTGAAGCCTTGAAGCCATGTGTTGTAACCGTGTTTGTAACAAGTTCACTTAATTTATAGTGTATGGAATCATGAATACCAAACACTATTTCCTTTTGACGTAACTGTGAGCAGTTGTGCCCTACATTAATGGCACTGTGATTATCAAAACATCAAGTTAGACCTGAGTGTTCAGTCAAATGTATGTAGCCTATCACAGCATATGTAAAGAGGAGACCTTACATGTTGCACAATTTGTTTAGAGGAGCCAACTATCCCAGATCTGACTCTTTAAAGCTTACCTAAAGTGCAGTTTGATAAAATTTCACAGATAACGCCCACGTGAGCTGTGTGACTGTTCACCACTACACTGAAATAAGTAGGCTATTACTGAAATACACGTGCTATATCATAAACTATGATATAAATGTGGAGGTGCTATTAACATCTTTAGTTGTAAAGGACACCGTTCTACCTTTAGTCTCATTCATGAGCAGTATTAGCTTCCTTAGTTTCTAACAAGCCTTTGACAGTTAAACATAACATGACTGAAACACCAACATTAAAAAAAACACCACACACAAATCAGATGTTACTCTGCTTTTATTTTTATCTTAGTAAACTTTCTCTTTCCTCCTTTTATAAAAATGATTTTTAATGTTAGTTTTATCTCAAAATTCATGGTTAAGAAAAAAATCCAACACATATGAACACCAGGTAATAAAGCAAAGCGAATGGCTCAGTCTAACATGTGCTCTGGTGAGACATTAAACTTCACTAAAACAATGCAGTTATGAAACGTAACTTTAATCTGAGCCAAACTGATTTGCTCAGTTGTAAATAAAACAGTGAAGTTAACGTGACCCGACAGACAGAACCTGAGTGAATTAAGTCCAGTAATAGTGTTCAGGCTGTATGGAAGAGTAAAGGTGATCGTGCATATTTTTCACTTTCAAGTTCATTGTACAAACTGTTTTACCCTGTATACTGTATTTCCATATATGTTTGCACATTTCAATAAATCACTGCACATATTCCCTATCCTCATAGCAACATGTAAAGAAATAAGCCATGGCTCAAAGGTAAACTTACAAACAGAAACTTCAGTGATGTTAAAAATGTTGTTATTATTCTTGACTCAGCTACATGCCTCTTCTTCAGTGTTGTATTTGTTTTACTAGTAACAATAATAAAACCTTTATGTTCAAGACACTTTATAATACCATGCTGTTAAAACCCATCATCTGTTCTTTGACCATAACAGAGGATTACTGTATCAGTTTTAATGTTAACAGCGTTAGCATCATTGCTAATTAAAGCTATTCTCACAGGTGAGCTACTATACATGCTGATATTTAGATTTGTCTTTACAATCTTGCTGTTTGTCTGTATCATGATTGTTAATAGCTGTTCTTTATCTTCTTGTTTTTCATGTTTTGTTTTGTTTTTTGCTCTTTTAGCTGTCAGTGACTCTGCATCCACAGTTTCAGTTTCTGCTCCTGTTTGTTTTTTTAGTTCTTTGTACTGTGAGGGTTTTAGTATGAACAGTATGTGATGTTTGAAGTACTTTGCATTGTTGTTCTGCTAACAGGTGCAGTGCAAATGACTCCACATCATCTTGTCTTAGACTCTTCATGACTCTTCGTGACTTCTAAATGAAACAAAGTTGTTTTGTGCCAGATCAGATTTCATGCTAATGACTCACACATGCTCTGAATTCTGTTCTCACACATTGAGAGTTTCGATGTGTTTACAAATGTGTGTTCTCATCGATACTTGAGCAGCAGCTTTCTGTAGCCTTGAAGATGACTTACAGACAGGTCATAGAGTGCAGTGCTGATTACCAGGACTGTATGCTACGTGTCTCTCATAGAGCACTCATACAGCTCCCATTATAAGTCTGTGCCCACTGCACATACCCAGATTTCAATCATTAATCAAGTTATATGATCACAGGAAAGACTGTAAAATGTCCTAATTATTTACAGCAAAATATAAATCTTTTACAGTCTGCAACAAAGCAGTTTTTGCCTTTATGGGTAGTTTTCCTCCTCATTATCAATTGTGTGGTGAGTTGATGAGCAATAACAACGAGTACTAATCAGTTAAGGTGTCTTTGCAACATACTTACAACTAGCAGCGTTAGAATCAAAACGTTAACTTTCCTTCAAAATTTTACTATTACTGCCATCATAAAGCAAACTGCAACTTACTGAAACATTTAGTGGTAAAAAATAGCCATTAATTAAAAGCTTCTCGGAGTGATGAATAAACATTTGACATTTTCAGTTTAAATTTTCAGGATTTGGGGCTTCATTTCAGCCAGTGCTGTTGAGAATCCTGTCAAAATTGATACAATTGGAAATACAGAAAAATACTGTCAGGTTCTGATGCACCAAAGTGTTTGATTGGCAATTGTTAGATTTTTCAGCATGAAAATGAAGTAGAGCTCTAAATGTCCTACAGGAAAATATTTCTGAAAAGGAAATTACAGAAATACAGTTCAGGCTGTGTATGAACTTTGTTTTTCCATGTACTGTACTTCTATATATGTTTCAATAAATCACTGCACCTATTTCCTTTTCTCAGGGCAACATGTAAAGAAATGAACGGTTGCTCAAGACTTTTGCACATTACTGTACATCATGGTAAACTTACAAACAGAAACTGCAGTGATGTTAAAAATGTTGTTATGATTCTTGACATTGTAGACTCAGCTACACACCTCTTCTTCAGCGTGCCATGTTTTAGTTTGTATTGGAAACTTTTATGTTCAAGGCATCTCACCTCAGAGAACAGAACAAATGAAAAAATATGTCAAATGTGCCAGAGCATGAAATTCCACTTCAAATGTTTCACTGAGCTGATGCAGGTTGGTAAAGGCGTCTTTGCAACCTACTTGCAACCAGCAGCATGAAAAAAAAGTAAATGTTCCTTTCTAAGTAACTATTATTATTATTATTCCCATCATAATGCTACTGCAACAGTAACAAATACTGAAAACGTTTAATCATGAAGATAAAAATGAAAAGATTTCAAACTTGTCTTAAACTATTTATTTCAACAGACATTTTGAACATTGTCAACAAATTTGAAGGATTTAAAGAAAGAAAGAAAAGAAAGAAAAAAACTGTAGCAGTAATGTCCTGATGCTCAGCTGTGTGACGTCAGTGTTTTATTTACAGTTTGTTTGTTTTTTTCCCCAATGCAGTGTTGGCAGCTTTTCAGGTCCTTGTCCCAGTTCTGCACTCCTCTCCTGCACCTGCTCCTGCTCCTCTCTTCTCTCTCCATGCTTCACATAGAAATTTGAGGCTGTGATTAGTGATGACTGCCAGCCTTACCTGATGCAGTCCTCTGAACATGTCCCTCCACCCCTCTCCTTAACACCCCTCACACCTCTTTGCCTTCAGATGTTAATAGTAAGAAAACAAGTACTAAAAACAAACATA